AATGTTAATTTCCCGCTTTTGATAATTTCCCAAAGTTGTTAACTTTGGTTGAGGTTGTACTTAACAGGCTGAAGCTGTACTTAAAGGCCTTGAATAATTTTTGTAACATGTCTGTATAGCTCATATTTTTTCAAATTAAAAGGTATATGAATATTGGGTTAGCATTAATTATGTATTTACATGTAACTTAATCTGAAAGAAGGATGGAAAGAATTTAACAGTCTTTAGTGGCTCTGTGCTTTGAGGATGAAGCTATAATAAGACAATTCAAATGGAAAAAGAATGGGCCAAGTACATACAAAAACTTTAAAATCACACTGGTGATGATGTCAGTATTGTTATTCTGAAAATGTTTCTTGTATAACATGAGAAAAAAAGTATTTTAATTGTATCGTCTTTGGTGTCCTTGACAACCAAGATTCTCTGCGTGGGAAGAGGAAATAAGATAGAAAAGACGGAACTGTTAGTTTGAATTAATGAGTTACTTCTGTTGTTAAAAATTATGTGTGTCTCTGTTTTTAACTGTCCACTGAAAGGACTTAAGACACAATGACCAACCCATAACAGTGAGCATCCTTAGTGTTCAAATTGTGATCTTAAAATGTTTTCCACAAAACTAAACACAGGCTTCTTGGGGAAATGGCTGGTTCAAATTCTGGAGTACATTGAGGCAAAAATCATTTTGTCATTCCAGATAGAATAGAAGCTATCTAAGACATGTCAAAAATACTCAAGAGCCAACTTAAAAGAGGTTTCTGCTGCCAAAGATAAGACAGTTTAAGCATCCATAAGGATGATAACTACAGTAAATTAAGACATCAAATATGTTTTTAAGTCCCTTTTATAATGATGAAGTTGGTTACCTTTGGAGAATGCCAGCTGGTTACCTTTCCAAATTATTTTGGAAACTTTAAAAATGAAGCATTAGGGGCCTCCCGGGTGGCGCAGCGGTTGAGCGCTGGGTTGTGAAGCTGCCCGCGGCCTCTGCGGCGCTGGTTCTATCCCCGGCTGCTCCCCGGCCCTGGAGGAGGGTCCCACATGGCTCGCAGACCTCTCCTGCCGCCCGCTGCTCCCCTCAGCAGTGTACTTCGGTCCTTCTGCCTGCTCTGCTCCCCGCTCTGGCTCTGGTGAATTCTCTCACCCTCCCGCACTTCTGACTGTACCCAGTGCATGTATAAACAAAACAAACAAACAAACAAACAAAAAATAAAAAATAAATTAAATATGCCTCTATTAAAAAAAAAAGAATGTTAAAAAAAAGTTAAAAATGAAGCATTAACCTACCTTTTCTATGTGATCTTTTTAATGATCTGTACTATTATATAGCAAAATAAATTGTAAAGCTTGTTTTTATAAAATTATTCCTACAGATCACTAGAAAAAGTGTAGAATGGGACTCTCATCATTTTGTAATCTCCTTAATGGAAGGTTTTATTTTTTGAGCACCAACCTATGTGAACATCATTAAGCAAGATAAAATCAGACATTAATGCCTCTTGATAGAACACACAGCTATCTAAGAAGTAACTTTGCTACGAAACTTGAATCTGAATCTGAGGAAGTCTTTATCAGAGTGACAATTTACAGACAGTACAGGGCCAAAGAACAAGGGAATACAGAAAACAAATCTAAAAATTATAGGACAAATGATACAGTGATATCGAACAAGTAAATTGCAAGAAAAATGATGGAAGGGATAACATTAAACTAAGGAGACCTGAAAAAGAAAATAATAAGCAGGTAAAACTAAATTATAAAGCAACATAATAAAGTGATTAATATAAAGACCAGGTCAATGGTTATTTTTGTTAGGGGGAGAATTATTAGGAAAATGTACAGTTAGGACTTTTAAGATAACTGGCAAGGTTCTATTTCCTGTTTTCCAACTATTAACTTAAGGTAACCATTTGTTTGGTGTGGCTTTATCCTGCTGAAAATATCAGGCTAATTTAAAAATTAATTTCAAAACATTTACTTAGTCAAAAAAGTAAAGATAATGGGAGGTGTGGGGAGAGGAGCTTTATTATTGTTTATTGAAAATTTTGTTTTTTTTATCTGAATAAAGTGGGATGGCCTCAAATAGCTTTTATTATTAATTACAATACTCCTAACTGTTTTTGTTTCTGCTTTGGTCCTCTTTCGGCTGTTGTTCATACTGCAGCCAATGAGATACCATTGAACCAAGTGAGGTGATGACATTAAGGCCCTTCCGGAGTAGACTGGAGGAGATGAGACCAAAACAGACAGGGAAGGTTTCACCTTAGCTTAAAATAGGCATCTCTTTTAATAAGAGTAGGTTTATATGTGTAGTAATGAGATTCAGCCCCATGACTTCTGTTTTCTCTGTGAAAACTGAAGCCAGACTTACCTGAATATGTGGATATTCAGAGAGTGGTTGGAGTCTAGTGAAGATTAACATAGCTGTTAGAGAAAATTGCTGAGGCGGCAAGTTTCATTGTCTCAAGGTTAGCTCATAATCATGACTTTATTGTAACACCAATTTTCTTCCATTTTGCATCCCTAGTACCTGATATAGAGCCCTGCCCATGGTAGGTACATTGTGCTTCTTTATTGTGAATTAAATTTCATTGTCAAAAATGCAGACTTCCTTAACAGAACTAATGAATATTATTGTGGGCAAGATTAACTTTGTATTGCTCTGTTATCATTTGTTCCCTAAACCTTTGCAAAACATAACTACAGTACATTAAGACATCAGGTTGATAAACTGAGAGGAGATAGTTCCATAGAAGTTTAGCAGTGCCGTTGAAAAATAGGTGTGTACATATTTAATATTAATGATAGGTCAGTGTGAATGCTAATAGTGTAACCAGCTGTCTTCAGTTTGCCAGGATTGTCTGTTTTACCACTGCAAGTGCCATGTACTAGAAAACCCCTAAGTTCTTGGAAGCCAGGATGTTTGGTCACCCTCTATTATGATTCCTTACAATTTGTTCGGTTATAAAGATAGTACATGTTCACTGTTGAAAACTTGGGGAAGTATAAAGCAAAAAGTTAAAGATTTATCTTGTAACTAAGAGGTTATACCACTATTAATCTGCTTTACAGTTGTTATTTAGACATGGTTGCTTGCTATTTATTAGAATTGATTATTTGATAAATGCAATTTTATAGTCTACTTTTTTTATACTTAACATCCTAACATGGGGGTTTTCCTATGTACTTAATTCTTTAAAAACTCCGGAGGAACAAAGGCTCCAAGCACTTGAGTGGTTGTTCTAGTGTACACTAAAACACTACCAGTATACAAACATTCTTTTTTACTATACTTTTAGAAGCTTTAGACATTATCACTACACAGAAACTTTGTTGATTGGTTTGATTAAAAATCTCATTGCTTTGAATTTTAATTTCTTTGATTACTAGTGGAATTTGAGCATTTCATCTCTGAATCATTTTATCAGGGCCCATTTTCATTTAGGATTTTTTTATATATATATTTTAAGTTGTCTCTTGAAGCGTATTTATTAATCCTTCAATGCAGTGTACCTAAGCATTTGTTAAATGTGTTATGTCCTTGCTCAAATCTTGTTATGTAAATTGGTGGTCAGATAAACATCAAACAATTTTAAATTATTGTTTTACAGTCTCCATAAAAAACCTTCCTGTTAATTCATCAGTGTTTAAACCTAACAGAGTTTATTCAGTTTAATCAGGAAATGTTTGTGTGTCTTACTGCTGGTAATCCATGATTCTTGCTCAAAGAATCTTTAGGATTCTAGGACAGACAGATAGATAAATACAAGTATTTATACATAAATACTTGTAAATCGGGTGGTGTTATTATGCACACCCATAAAAATCAGTATGCAAACACATGAAAAGGAATAGTTAATTTTTGTGGAAAAAGATTCATATAAAACTGTAATATAAAATAAGTTTGATTAGTTTGAATGATGTAAGATTTTGCCAATAATAATAATAATAATCACCAACATTGAGTGCTTACCCTGCTATAATCATTAACAGTTTTAGGAGATGGTTATGGGTATTTTAACTGGAAAAGTAAGGAATTGAGAAGAATATAATTTCTAGGAAGAGTTAACAGTGAAAATAAATGATGGCAGCTTTGAGAACACTGTATTTTCTGGAATAAAAGAAGGGTATAATAATAATAATATTCAAGTACTATGTAAAATACTTCACAAGCTTCAGTTGGAAAAAAAAAAACTCACACTAGTTCCTTGAAGTTGGTATTTTTAGTCCATTTTTAGGTAGTATAAAGTTTAAGAATCAGTTTAATGTGGAGGTGACATGAAATTATTAAGGTTTGTCTGACTCAAAATCTTCTTAACAGTTAAGGAAATAGTTCAAATAAACAGAAAATAATATAAAACACTTGAATATTGAACATTTTGATTTAGCAATTCTTAAAAGTTTGCTAAAGTTTATATTTTATTTAAAAAAAATGTTACAGAAACAGTTAATGTTTCACTTTCCCTTGTTTGCCATCCTGTTCCTCCTCCCTCCTTTGCAGGGTCAGCCACAATCCTATTAGCCATGCTTATACTTGTCTTTCATTTTACTCTAGGTATATATCGTCACATATCAATTATGTATTATTTTGCGCATTTTATAACTTTACTACAAATTTCATCACACTGTACCTGTCCTTTGGCAACTTGCTTTTTTCATTTGTCATTCTGTTTTTGAGATTTGCCTATGTTGATCCATGTAAAAGTTCTTTCATTTTATTTGCTTTGGAGTGCTTATTTACCCATTCCCCTATTTGAGGGATATTTAGGTTATTTCTCATTGCTTGCTTTTACAGCAAGCCTAAAATAAATATTCATGTACATGTTTTTGTGTAGCTGTTTGGAAGTGTACTTTCTACAAGAAGAATTATTGAGGGCCTCCCTGGTGGTGCAGCGGTTGAGCGCTGGGTTGCGAAGCTGCCGGCGGCCTCTGCGGTGCCGGTTCGATCCCCAGCTGCTCCCCGGCCACCGGAGGAGGGTCCCACATGGCGCGCAGACCTCTCCTGCCGCCCGCTGCTCCCCTCAGCAGTGTGCTTCGGTGCTTCTGCCTGCTCTGCTCCCCGCTCTGGCTCTGGTGAATTCTCTCACCCTCCTGCGCTTCTGACTGTACCCAGTGCATGTATAAACAAAACAAACAAATAAATAAATAAAACATGCCTCTATAAAAAAAATTGTTAAAAAAAAAGAATTATTGAGATACATAATATATTTCTTAAAGCTTTAGAGCAGATACTTTCAAATTGCTTTTTAATATGCTTATGGTAATATATACTCTTAACATAGGTATGTAAGATTTGAACTATCTGAACCACTCTATTTTTAAATTTCTCAAATCTTGGGAAGATTATGAAGAAAGTAAGCCTTATCAAAGATTAGTTACTCCCTCTATCATCCTAGAGATGACAAACCCAGAGTATATTAAGTAGGTAGATAAATTTTGGTGAGTACAGCAAAGGAGACATAGATGGGAAGCAAAAATAAAGGGAAAATATAGCAGGTAGGATTACAGCTCCATGAACCCATCAATTATCTTACCTGTCTGCCATTCCTAGAATGTGGGTGCAGACCCCAGAGAGAAAGAAGGGGAAAAGGCAAGAGGCATAAGTCAGCTGAATCTGGCAAATCTTCACCCAGTAGACTTCCTCGTGCATCTCATTGGGCAGAATTGGATCCCATGACTTCTGGTTGTAAGGACTATTGGGGGCAAGTGCTTTCCTGAACAAAATCAGAGTTCCATTAGTAAGAAAGAATAGAAATATAGACAATGGATAGGCAGCTAGCAACTGTTAATTTAAATAGATTCAATATTTTATTATATCGTGATCCTGCTTGGAATGGTTGGGAAAGCATATAATAGGTGATAGATAAATATTTATTGGGTAACTGAATCAATCAGCCTTAAAAATCTATAGTAATTTCTTGACTCCAGATTTGTAAAGAAATTTGCTGCATTTTGATTTTTGAAGTGGATTTTTCATCGAGTATTGCCACTTCAAATTTCATGTCTCAGTCATTTTAATCCTCTTTCACTTTTTACTTTTAACAAAACATGGGGAATTGATTATATAGCCAAGTTACTTTTAACCAATTATGTATGATTGTGCTTGAAGGTTTGTTTTCTATCGTGATGCTTCTATCTATCCTCTATATAGTTGTGGGAATACATACATATCATCTCAGGAAGCTCAAGTAATAATTGTTGTCATGTTTTTCTTTTAAAAAAAAAACTGAGCCAAACACAAAATTGCCATGAATTTAGCATTTTTAGATAGGAAAAATAAAAGCCAACTATGAATAATACTTGAAATCTCTTAGCCTAGCTTCTTTTCTTGTAGATGAAGCAATAATGACAGTTTGTGACATACTCAGAGTCGCATTACTAGCTGAATTAATTATTAGTGCACCAATGTTATTTTTTTTTTTTAATAATGTATTTATTCTTTTTTTTTTTTAAAGCTTTATTTATTTATTTATACAAGCACTGGGTACAGTCAGAAGAGCGGGAGGGTGAGAGAATTCACCAGAGCCAGAGCGGGGAACAGAGCAGGCAGAAGGACCGAAGTACACTGCTGAGGGGAGCAGCGGGCGGCAGGAGAGGTCTGCGCGCCATGTGAGACCCTCCTCCAGTGGCCGGGGAGCAGCCGGGGATCGAACCGGCGCTACAGGGGCTGCAGGCAGCTTCGCAACCCAGCGCTCAACTGCTGCGCCACCGGGGAGGCCCACCAATGTTATTTTTGATTTTACTTTGTTATGTTGTTACCCATATCAAAATCAGTTCAAAGAACTGAAGAGAATTTTTGCATTTACCACCCCTAGTTAAAAATGATGTCATTTTACCTTGAATCGGCCACAATGAGATCCTGAGATGCTTTCTGAACCAAAACCTATAGAAGAGTCAGCAAACTCTTAGTATTATGTTGAAATTATTTTTAAAGACAATAATCTATATTTTAATTGTTTGCCTAGATGTTATTGTAATTAGATTTCCTGATATACTAAATAGTCAAGTGACTGGGGATTTTTCTAAACCTGCTTTCTCAGTGGGAAAGGAAAGACATACACATTAGAAAATCATTGTCATCTCTTTAATTTTCTTAGCTGCATACACACACTAAACATAACCCAAGCGTTTCTTACTATCATGCTCATGTTACCACGGTGAAATGAAGTGCTCAATCGCTTGCAAATAACAGTTGTCAGTTTATAAAACAAATATGGTCTTTTAGGAATATTTCGTGTAGTATTTTTAGTTTCGTATTTTGAATCATCTCTTGAGCCTGAATAAATTATTTGAGCAGTATAAATATTGGCATCCTATTGAGAATATTGAAACTGAAAGTATAAAGCATAACCTTAACTCAAAAAGTCTTTTGATATCTAGAAGTTGTACTTCAGAGATTTGTAATTTTCTTCACTGTCAGATTCTACTTTTCATCAAGTGTCCAGGGAGAAAAGACACTTCTTTTAATAAACTTCAAATGGAAATATGTATGCCTTTTGTATTTTGTATTCTTGAATGCTTTTATTCATATAAACTTTTTCTGATTTTTAGAGGGACAGAAAGAAAATGAAAAGATGAAAAGTGAAGAACAGCCAGTAAATTCAGAAAATCGTTTTACACCCAATGCACCGGAAGAGACTACTGTGAAAATAGAAAAAGATGATGAAAAGGAACTTGTGAAACTTCCAGTTATAGTGAAGCTAGAAAAGCCTTTGGCAGAAAACGAAGACAGAAAGATTATCAAAGAAGAAAGTGATTCCTTCAAGGAAAATGTCAAACCCGCTAGAGTTGAAGTGAAGGAACATAGAGCAGATCCTAAAGATATGAAAGGTAGCTTGGAGAAACTAGAGCCAGAGAGACTAGAGTTTGGTGGCAATGTTAAATCTCAAGAAATTACTGAAAAGTCTACTGAAGAAACTGAGAAACTTAAAAATGACCAACAGGCCAAGATACCACTAAAAAAACGAGAAATTAAACTGAGTGATGATTTTGACAGCCCAGTCAAAGGACCCTTGTGTAAATCAGTTACTCCAACAAAAGAGTTTTTGAAAGATGAAATAAAGCAAGAGGAAGAGACTTGTAGAAGGATTTGTACAATCACGTCTTTGGGTCATGAAGGGAAACAACTGGTAAATGGAGAAGTTAGTGATGAAAAAATAACTCCAACTTTTAAGACAGAACAAATTGAGACAAAGTTTTATGATACAAAAGAAGATAGTTGCAGCCCTTCTAAGGACAAAAATGTCATTATGGAGGGAAATGGAACAGAATCCTTAAATTCTGTCATAACGAGTATAAAAATAGGTGACCTGGAGAAACAAGTGATCCCTAAAGGGAAAAATGCAGATAATTCAATATCAGTATTAGAGATGCAGTGTCAAAAAGGACAAATAGAGGAACCTGGTCCTCCCGAAATGGACACTTCTCATGAGATTTCTGAGGCTGCCGAGGATATGTCTTTAAAAGCTGCTTTATCTACCACTGAATCCTGTACTTTGAACATTGAAGAGAAATCTCCCAAAAGTAAAAAGGATAAACGCCCACCAGTCATAGAATGTCTTGAAAAGTTAGAGAAGTCCAGAAAGACATTCCTTGATGAAGACACACAAAGATTGAGTCCAATACCAGAGGAGGTTCCAAAAAGTACTCAAGAATCAGAAATGCCAGGCTCTCCTGAGGCGGTTGAACCTTCTTCACCTTCTAACATGACTGGCCATTGTGAGAAACTAGCCTCTGAAAAAGAAGTGGTTGAGAGTCAGAGCACAAGTTCCATTGATGGTCTGGAAAAAGGAGACCCAGAAATGTTAAAAGAAGATTCTGAACCCACAAAGGTAGAAATGGATAATCTGGACAATGCCCAGATCTCTGGCACAGATCCTTCTGAGGCAAAGGGTCCTATGCAAAAAAGCAAACTTAAATACAAGTTGGTTCCTGAGGGAGAAACCAGTGCCTCGGAAAACACAGAGATAACCTCTGAAAGGCAGAAAGAGGGCATCAAACTGACAATTAGGATATCTAGTCGGAAGAAGAAGCCAGATTCTTCTCCCAAAATTCTAGAAACAGAAACTAATAAACAAGAGAAAACAGAAAAGGAAGAAGAGAAAGTAAATGTAGGCCGTACTTTAAGGAGGTCTCCGAGAATTTCCAGACCCACAGCAAAAGTAGCTGAGATCAGAGATCAGAAAGCTGATAAAAAGAGAGTAGAAGGAGAAGATGAAGTGGAAGAAGAGTCAGCAGCTTTGCAAAAAACAGACAAAAAAGAGAATTTGAAAAAGTCAGAGAAGGATACAAACTCTAAAGTAAGCAAGGTAAAATTTCACCTGCTCTGCGTTGTAATTTTTATCAGAAATACTGTCAGTTATAGCTTTTTGCGTTTGTCTGAAACATAGTCATTCAAAGGTTCTTAAAAAAAGAAAAAAGATTATCTTCCTATACCTGAATACCTTTTTTCAGTGATTATACCTGGGTATGAAATTTCAGGCTATATAACCTCATCATATTTTTGACTTTATCACAGGCAAGTATAGGAATATATTCTCTATGTAAACTATTAAAGTAATCAGACTAGTGGGATTAAAAATGAGAAATCCCTATAAAATCTGTTAATACTTTGGGACACACCTCTTTCAAATTCTTTTTCTGTAAACATGTATTTTCATAATTATTTACCCATTCATTTAAAAAAAAGGGAATCAAATGTGTTAATTTTTCCATGAGTTTTTCACTTAAGAAAGTATCTCTAAAATCTTTCCATGACAGTAAATTCCATCTTTTTTGGTTATTAGTCGTCACATAGTATTCCATATTGTGGATGTGCCTCAGTTTATTTAACTACTCCCTTATTGATTGACATTTAGGTTGTTTCCAATTTTTCACTATTACAGGCAGTGCTGCATTGAAGATCCTTTTGGACATGAGTGAGTATTTCCTTAGAATAGACTCCTAGAATTGGAATTGTTGGGTCAAGGGGCATGTGTGTTTTAAGTTTTGGTAGCTATTTCCACATTGCCCTCCAAATAAAAGTCCCATGAATGTGCACTCACATACCAGTGTATGAGAGTGCCTGTTTTCCTCCAGTTTAATCATTAGTCTTAAAAATCAGAATGCTTTTTTCTGTGAACCTCTTAGGCAAAATCTTACACAAGTCTGACTAGTTTACGAAAGTTTGTTATAATTAAAAGTACTGTTTTAGCGTTTTTCTTTATTTAGGTGATCAGATTATTCTTAATTGTAAGTGATCCTTTGTTCCCTGAAATACTGAATTTTCAACTCTTTAAAGAACATTTCCTCTTCTATTGTTAGATTATTTTGTCTTTAATGGGAACTTACACTGTAGTAATTGAAGCAAGAATATTTTTTACATTTGTTGGGATTTTTATCTGTAGTTCTGATCCATAAAAAATTTTAAATTCATCTCTGATATGAGAATTTGAAATTTTGTATAATCCTATGTGAGAATCTAGTCAATGCTCTGCTATAGAGCCTTTAAGATGTACATGGCCTTTGACCCAGAATCCTCTTCGAGGAATTTATCCTAACTATAAAGTTATGTATAAAAATGTATACTTACTTGTATATATTGCTTACAAAAGTGAAAAAGTGGGAAACAACTGCCTAAATGTCTGTCTGGTACAGGGAATTAAATACAACTGTGTAATAACATATTTTACCATCATTTACAGTGATGTTAGTGTAATACTTTGTCAGTAGAGAAAATATAAAGCCGAATGTTCATCACAATCCCTAGCTCCCCCATAAAAGAAAGAAAAATATAATTGAAATATATGCCAAAATTCAATAGTAGGTATGGTATATCTGTTGATAAAGCAACTATAATTTTCCTTTTCTTTTTTGTATGTTCACCAAATACTCTACAGTGGACGTAATCAGAATTTTTTAAAACCTTATTGTATATATTTTTTTATTTTCCCAAGGTAAAACCCAAAGGCAAAGTTCGATGGACTGGTTCTCGAACACGTGGAAGGTGGAAATATTCCAGCAATGATGAAAGTGAAGGATCCGACAGTGAAAAATCATCTGCAGCTTCAGAAGAGGAGGAAGAAAAGGAAAGTGAAGAAGCCATTGCAGCAGATGATGATGAACCATGCAAAAAATGTGGCCTTCCAAACCATCCTGAACTAGTATGTACTGGTCTACATGAACATTGTTTATATAGCAGAATGCTGTGGTTGCCAGTAGCAGCCTAAATCTGGTTTGATCATGATAAGGCTTTTTCTTGTTTTTTAATGCTGAAGAGACCATGTGTGTAAAATAACCTTAATTTCTCTTTCTCAAATACCCAATTCTTGCTTTCATTCTACCTAGTTTATATATTGATACTTTCTCTGCTGCATAAGAATATACTCTCAGTCTTTCTCACAAGTCAGTGAGTTTATTCAAATAGTTCTGTTCTTTTTCTTTAAACTTTTCTTCATTTTGTTAATTATAATGGTATTTCTAAAATGCTAGCTTTAAGTAAATATAGCCTGAAGATCCTGTTGCCTTTTGTTAAAAATATACAAGTTAAGTAGTCATCTACTACGACTTTAAACTTTAAAAATTAGACAGTTGTAAAAAAAAAAAAATTTAAGAAGATACGTTCTTAGACCATATAGTCAGAAGGAATAGCAATAGATTTATATGGAACTTTCTTTCCTAGGAAGTAATTATTTGAAAGTGACCACACACACACACACACACACACACACACACAAACACACACACACACACCCCATTCATAAGAACTTTCTAAAGAACCTTCCTTAGAACATGCTATTAAAGAACATCTTTGTTTTTAATTTTGCAGAGAGCTGGGGTGTAGGCCAGAGGTGGTGAGAGGATCCACCAGAGACAGAGTAGGGAGCAGAACAGGCAGAATTACTGAAATACACTGCTAAGGGGAGCAGCAGGTGAGACAGGAGAGGTCTGCTGCACCATATGTGGGTTAGTTCCCTGGCTGGGGATCAAACTCAGGCCTTAGTGGTGATAGTGCTGAGACTTACACCCTAGGCCACCAGGGAGACTCCAAAGAACATTCTTGTTATGCCCAATTCTGTGCAATTATTCTGTTCTGATGAAGAGGTTTGACTTTAATGGCAAGCTCCAACTTTTAAGAAAGAAATATGTTCCAACTATTTAGAAAGAAATATGTTTCCATAATGGGTAGAATTGTGTGGAGCAGAAACTTTCTGAGATCCTCTAAAGTTTGTAGAAGTCACCTAAGGTGGTTTTTCAAAACTTTTCCTAGATAGTAATGAGGTGTGATGGGAAAGTCACAGGGCCAGACAGACTTGGATGTAGATCGTACTTCTACCACTTATGAGGTGCTTTCTTCTTTGTATCTTGATAACCTTTTTATAAAAGGAGAACAGTATCACATACTTCTTCTGAGGGTTATTTTTATTAAGTTATATGAAGTTCTGCTTAGCATAGTTCTTGACATCTGTTACGTACTAGGTTATGTTTCTGGTTTACTTATTCTTTATGTTAAAATCACATCTGGAAACAAAATTCATCAGTGCAGTTTATCATATCCCAGGAGTTATAAGGGTATAAAAGATGTAACTTAAAAACAGAGGATGACTTTAGCTTAGAGAAAAATAGATGTTAAAATTATGCTGAGAAGACCACGCTAAGCTTTTTTTTTTTTTTTTTTTTTAAAGATTTATTAATTTATTTATTTATACAAGCACTGGGTACAGTCAGAAGCACAGGAGGATGAGAGAATTCACCAGAGCCAGAGCGGGGAACAGAACAGGCAGACCGACGAAATACACTGCTGAGGGGAGCAGCGGGCGCGGCAGGAGAGGTCTGTCGCGCCATGTGGGACCCTCACCGGTGGCCAGGGATTGAACTGGCGCTGCAGAGGCTGCAGGCAGCTTCGCAGCCCAGTGCTTAACCGCTGCACCACCGGGGAGGCCCTCTAAGCATTTTTTTTTTAAGGTTCTCTCAGTTTCCTTTAATTCAGATTTTTCTTTTTTTTTTTTTAAATTTTACTTCTATATTCCCCATACAATTACAACCCCCTTATTTTGACCCCATCCCCTCCTTTCCCCGCGCTCCCCCCCCAATAGTGTGTCTCTGGTTCATAGTTGTTTGTTAATTTTGATTTTCACTTTCTTATAGTTATTCATTTTCCTGGTCCCTTATTTAAGTTTTCTAGATTCCTGCTATGAGTGAGACCATCCGGTATTTTTCTTTTTCTTTCTGACTTATTTCGCTGAGCATGATCCCTTCCAGCGCCATCCATGTTGCTGCAAATTGCATGTGTTTATCTTTTTTGAATGCTGAGTAATATTTCATGGTGTATATGTACCACATCTTCTTGTGATCCAGTCATCTATTGTTGGGCATTTGGGTTGTTTCCAAAGCTTAGCTATTGTAAATAGTGCTGCTATAAACATAGGGGTGTAGGTGCTCTTTGGAATTAATGTTTCTGTGTCCTTTGGGTAAATACCTAGGAGTGGAGTTGCTGGATCATGTGGAAGCTCTATCTTTAGTGGGTTGAGGAATCTCCACACAGCTTTCCATAGTGGTTGGACCAGTTTGCACTCTAAGCATTTTTTTTTTTTAAGATTTATTTATTTATGTATATAAGCATAAGCACTGGGTACAGTCAGAAACACGGGAGGGTGAGAGAATTCACCAGAGCCAGAGTGGGGAGCACAGCAGGCAGACTGACGAAGTACACTGCTGAGGGGAGCAGCGGGCAGCAGGAGAGGTCTGCGCGCCATGTGGGACCCCCACCCGGCAGCCAGGAAGCACACCGGCACTGCAGAGGCTGCGGGCAGCTTTGCAACCCAGCACTCAACCGCTGTGCCACCGGGGAGGCCCACTCTAAGCATTTTTAAGATCACCAGGCTATGAAAGTTAGGTCAAGAATTTTGAGTGGAGACAGGCTAAGGTAAGATTTGAAGTAGTCTTTTTGCCCTCTAAATCAAGGAAAAATGAATTTTTGTCTTCTTTTCAACTACCATTTTCTAATGTCTTTTTAAACTAAGAGTTTATTTTAACTGAGGCAGCAGTATACGTCAATGATAAATTTGTATAAGAAATAAGAAATTGAAGTGAGCAGACATGACAGAGGAGATGAGAAAATTGTATCATTGGAACATAGAGAGGATTATTTTTTACTTGGTTATTTTGATAACTGTTCTGACATCCCCATTGCTAGTTACTAGTACAAAGAGAATGACATTGGAAACTGAGGATCCCAAATATGGTGGATTTCTCATGGCACATGCTTAAGGATAATTGTCAAATCAAAATATTTAGCAACTGTTATGTGTTAAATGGTAGGGATAGGATGCTAATTTACAAAGACGTGGTCCTTGTCATCTTTGAGCTTATAGGAGAAATGTGATTATTTCATAAACAGATATAGAATCCAGGATTTTCTAGGTGCTTTAGTCAAAACAATGGATCATTACCTAAAACTTGGAACTCTTATGTGATACTGTTTATGTTCAGGGTATTTTATTTTACCTTTATTGCAGAATAGAATATTTGTTTTAAAAAAGAAATTGAATTCTAAAGGTTCACTTGTATTTTGTTATTCGAAATTTATATTATGTTTTACCATAGAAACAATGAAATAAATGGAATGAGATGCCTGTATTAGTCCACTTATGCCTGTGTAATTAACCAACCAACTATATATATACCTGTAATACCAATATAACTTAGTTCTGATTTTTGGGTGTTGGTACCAAGTGGTACTATGGAAAAAGTGGGAATGTCGTTTTCTAATTCTGAATGACTGCACACCCCACCCCAGTCCCACCCACCGCAATCCCCTGGTGTTATGGGTTAGCAATTTAGAAATTATTTTACATATTACACTAGGGTTCAACAAATAAATGGCCTGTAAATAATAGGAGTAGGGAAAACTTACTTGTTTAGAATATCCTATAGTGCCAGAAAATAAGGAAATGGCGTTTTTGGTTTTGTTTTATTTTTTTTAAAAGAAAGGATGTGGAGAAGTCCTGAGGACACAGGAACCAATCTGAAAGAGCTTCCAGTGTGTTCACAACTATGACAATTTGAACATCAAGTTAAATAACAGTAGTTTTAGGTTATAACCCAAATAATAAATGTTTATTAGTTCATCCTGAAATAAACAATTGAATTAACAAATGTGGGGAGAGGGATATTTTTCTTTACAGAAATATTTCAAATAACAGATACAAAAGGAATGAGGGAAATAAAGAATCACCACTAGAACACCTTAGTGATTATTACAAGCAAGATCCATGATGACCGCTAAAACTAGTGGGTGAAACTTTTAAGGAAACAGAATATTTGCATAGTTTCAACATACCTTGCTCCCACACATTTATTAATGTATTAATTACTGTGGTGATTTTAACATATATACAAATCCTTTGATACTCTCCCTTCCTCAGAAAGTGGAACTTAATTCGCCTCCCCTTGAGTGTGGCTGAACTTATTGTACAATGAGAATAGAGTATGAAAAGTGAAATTTTGTAATTTTATAGTAATAAAAACCAATAGAAACTACCATAACCAAATAATCCATGTTAATATCACCAATAATAGGCCATCTTGATATGACATACACCCACATATGAAGTGTAATACCTCTTTGGTATTCTTCTTTAAAACCCATAACCACGGTCTAATCTAGAGAAAATATCAGACAAACCCTTAATGTCTCCAAATAATCTGAACATTATTCTTCAGAACTATCAAAAGCCCTGGAAAACAAAAAAGAGCAAGAAATTAGTACAGGTAAGAAGAGAGTAAGAAGATATGAATAAATGCAAAGGAATATACTAGACTGGATCCTAGAATCAAAGGAAGGAATTTGGGGGGAAACTGATAAAATCTAAATAAAAGTTGTTAGTGTACTGATGTTAATTTCTTAAGTTTTGGTCAATGCACCCTGGTTATGTAAGATGTTAACATTAGTGGAAGCCAGGTAAACAGTTTTAGAAATTCTGCACTATGTAATTCTTCTGTAAGTCTAAAATTATTTAAAAATTAAGTTTTTTAAAGTAAAATATTCATGAGTATGTACCATTTTAGGTTGTAGAGAATTCACCATCTTATGCTCAAGTAACAATAAATATCAACTTAAAACTATTGTTAGCCTTTTTACCTTAATCCCTTCCATATCTTAATCTTCATCCTAAAAGAAACCATTAATGTTTCTTATAGATAGGTAATTAAAATGCTATTTAAAGTGGATATTATTTTAAAAATCCTATATGATAGTTATGATACTTGAGTATGAAACTATTACAAAGAATATGTTGTTATAGTCTTCATGGGATACTATAAAAGGATTGTAACTCTAGTTGAGAAAGAACTTGTTATTTTTGATTAAATGTTGTGGCTTGACATTTTCGTAGGTTGTGTGTGTGTGTGTGTGTTTTAAATTTTTTACATGGCATTTCAGACCCCTAATTGTAAGGTCTTTTTTATTATGTTTATTTAGATAAAGATTGTTTTTAGCATAGTTCTAAGAAATGTTGAAATATCTTTATTTTAGCCTAAAAGATACTGAATTGCAGTTATAGTTAGGTTGATATTAATCTGTGGTTTATTTCAGATTCTTCTGTGTGACTCTTGTGACAGTGGATACCACACTGCCTGTCTTCGTCCTCCTCTGATGATCATCCCTGATGGAGAATGGTTCTGCCCCCCTTGCCAACATGTATGAGTCAACACATCTCTGTTTTTCCATTCTTTGATTTTATACTCAAATTAATAACACTTCCTGACAGCCACAAAACATTTTTAATCTTCAAAGTAATGTGTAAATATTATTTACCTCTTATTTTTCTGTTAGAGACTTTAGAAAAAACCTACCTTTTATTAATATGTTCTGGATCTTCCCTTTGTTTTTCCAAAGTGATTCTCAGAAGCCCTTTTTTAAAATTTAGATATTACATATTTACAAAGAAGACCTAATTTTTACAAAATTATAATCTTCATTTTATTTTTCTCACTGCTAAAGATACAGAGTGTCCCCAGATTAAGGTAATATGCAAGGGAAGAAATAAGTTTCTTCCTATTTGCTTCTCCCTTTCTTTCAGCCTCTTTCATTTCTGCCTGCTTGCTCTTTGTCAGTAGTTTAATAATATATATAAGGATTAGAAGAAACATGGATTCTATTTTTCTCATAGCCCAATTCAAGTGAATTGTTTTTGAAAACTGACAAAACAGGATATTTTTGTGCCACTACCACTAAGGGTACTTTCTCATATTCAATCTCATTTTGCTTTAAAAATTATGGACTTGATGGATTTCTGAATTATGTGGGCTTTTGTGACTTAACATATGCTTATCAGTTACATCATTTAGGTCTGTTTTAACCCATTATCTGTGTGGCATCGTTCTATAAATTTCCATTATCTTTTTTAAAAATAGTGATTGGACTATTTTATTTTGTACCTCTAATCTTCTCTCTTAAAAATGTCTTGGGATTTAAAAATAATTTTTGATTGCTGTCATATACTTAGTCATTCTCTTGTGTATATACTTGGAGCCAAATGCTATTTTAAACAGATTATTGTCAACAAGATAGGCAAAGTATGTGTTTTTTAGCAAGGCATAGTTTCTCTAACATGTACATTACTTCAAAGATGCTAAGCTTCAGTTCCGTGGATGCTGAAGCACCTCTTTAATTAAACACAAGAAATATTCACTATTTACTCACTGTGTGGCCACTTATCAACTCTCATAGCACAGAATCCATGAGCTAATAATATGCAAGTGATAAAAGATTGTGGAAAAGTGTTGAAAATGACCCTCAGGTACTTTGCTCTTTTAGAAACTGCTATGTGAAAAATTAGAAGAACAATTGCAGGATTTGGATGTTGCCTTAAAGAAGAAGGAGCGTGCTGAACGCAGGTATTGTACTATGTGTGTTAATGTTTTACTAGGGAATTTGACAACAAATTTGTCTTGCAATATAAATTAGTGTGTCCATCTAAATTGGAGTTTGGCAAACTGTGACCTGTGGGCTAAATCTGGCCCACTTCTTATTTTTGTATTACTGCTAACAGTAAAAGCTTTTATAAATGGTTGAAAAAGAAAATCAAAACAAGAATCACATTTGATAAAACATAAAAATTAAATATTCAGATATCATTGTCCATAAATAAAGTTCTGTTGGAACATAGTCATGCTCATTTGTTTATATACTTTCCTGTGGCTACTTTGCGTTATAGCAGTAGACTTGAGTAGTTGCAGCAGAGACTTTCATTCCTCACTAGACTTAATTCATTATTTGTCCTGTTAATGGAAAAAGTTTGCCAACCCCCGATCTGAAATATTTATTAGAACCTACTCGAAATAAATATTGATCCAAGTATTGTGGAGGATATGTACCTAACTAAATACTGTAGTGTCTAAAAACTGGTCTACAATTTAGTTACCCATGTCATCTCTTTGGGTGGGCAGAATTAACAGTGGTGAAATAAAGAGCATTTAAGTGCTGAACTGTGTCCTACTGACTGTAAGAGATGCCTCCCTTTTCAATATGCCACTGCAATGTGATCTAAAGCAGTTGGACAAGGCTTCTTGAAGGAGGTAAGACTGGAGTTGAGCCTAACCTTTAAAAGGGAGCTCAAAATCATGACAGTAAGTTTATATTTATTTATATTTATATTTATTTGTACTTTCTTTGGTTAATCTATGCTAAACATTCATATCTACCATATACCAAACTGAAGAGAAAAGATGAATTCAGAAAAAGTTCTCACAGAGCTCACCTTTTATCAGATTTATAAATCAGTGGTAAAATAGACAAGATATTCAGAGCAATGGAAGAACATTGTGGAGGACCATTTTAGTTCTCCTCAGGCCTGGGAAGTCCTTGGTAGATAATTTGGCATTATACAGGGAGATGTGCATAAAAATACTTCATGCAAAGTCATAAAGTCAGTGAAAGATAGGTGTGAAAGTGAGAGTAGGAGACTGGGAGGAAATAAAGTTATAAAAGCAGATTGCGGTTAAATTGTATACAGCTTTGCGTATCTGGCTAGGGTATTTTAATTTTTCTCTATTGCCAGTGGAGGAGCTGTCAAAGGAAATAGGTGCATAATTAGATTTTTACTTCAGAAAAAATGCTCTGGTAACAGTAAGAATAAGGGATTAGAGGTAAGACTTTTGCAGTAAAGTCTATGAGAGCCATTGAGGCCTGATCTAGGGCAATCATTTTGATAATAAAATGGAGATATTGATGAGAACTTTCAGAGGGTTAATCAGTAGGACTTTTTTTCTTAAGACTTATTTTTATTTATTTACTCATATAGGAAGTGGGGTGTGTAGGCCAGAGGTACGGGGAGTGAGAGGATTCACCAGAGACAGAATGGGGAGCAAGACAGGTGGATCTACTGAAATCTGCTGCTAAGAGGAGCAGCAGGCAAGACAGGAGAGGTCTGCTGCGCCATATGTAGGTTAGCTCCCTGGCCAGGGATCAAACTCATGCCACAGTGGCTGGTGACAGCTTGATAGCACTGTCTTTAACTCCTGCGCCATCAGGGATGCCCCTAATCGGCAGGACTTTTGATGCGCACTTGTACAATAGCATACTATGAGGAAATATAAAGTGTCTCCTGATTGGTTTATTACCTTCATTTGCTGCTTTTTTAACTTTAACCTGGCATTACATAGTTTCACCAAAAATTGTAGTTTACCTTAAGGCAGTCAGTTATTCCATATCTACTTTGTACAAAGGTGAAACTTAAAATGGGTTTTGCCTGGAGAACCTGGTTTTCTTTCTTTCTTCTTTGAGTGCTCTGGCTCATAATAAATGCTACTTAGTTTAAAGACAAAGTTAATCTCTAAAATTAGCTAGGAGGTAAAAGCACTTAACTTAAAAAAAAAAAAAAACAACTAGTTGTTTAAATACCTTTGTGTTTAGGAACTCTGGGTAGTACTTATATAAAATTAGGACTATGTTGATGTGCAGAGGTGTTTGTTTTTTATCTCGGCACTGGAAAAGATGTAACTAAAGATGCTTCAGATTAAATTTTAAATCATAATTTAAAATTTGATTTTCTTTTCCTTCAGTCTTTCTGAAATCTGCCTGCCCTTTTGAGAATGGGGCAGTTTTCTTGTGCTCTAGAACTGATTTGATTCAGCAGAATAGATCCCTAATAGGCTCACTCTTTAAGGACTTGAAAGAAAATGTTTTCTAAAAGCCAAGAATGCAAACCACTAAGAATTTGATGCTCAAACCATATCTCCTTGCTCTTTGAAGCCTGTGACACACCTTTTTTTTTTTTTTAAGATTTATTCTATTTATTTATTTATTCATTCATTCATTCATTCAAGCACTGGGTACAGTCAGAAGCACGGGAGGGTGAGAGAATTCACCAAAGCCAGAGCGGGGAGCAGAGCAGGCAGAAGCACCGAAGCACACTGCTGAGGGGAGCAGCGGGCGGCAGGAGAGGTCTGCGCACCATGTAGGACCCTCCTTCAGTGGCCGGGGAGCAGCCGGGGATCGAACTGGCGCTACAGAGGCTGCGGGCAGCTTCGCAACCCAGCACTCAACTACTGCGCCACCGGGGAAGCCCATGTGACACACCTTTTATGTTTGGAAAGTCTAGTGACAATTTTGCTGTTGCCTCATACTCGGATATGCTGCTGCAGTTAAGAAATACTTTACATTTTAGGGCCTCCCTGGCGGCACAGTGGTTGAGCACTGGGTTGCGAAGCTGCCTGCTCTGCTCTCCACTCTGGCCCTGGTGAATTCTCTCACCCTCCCGTGTTCTGACTGTACCCAGTGCTTGTATAAGTAAATAAAAATAAATCTTTTAAAAAAAAAAAAGAAATACTTTACATTTTAGAAATTTATGTTAAAATGTACTACAGCATTTGTTACATTTGTTGCCCTCCCATTTACTATATTTGCTTTCTCTTTTTCACTTGGTAATCCTCTTTATTTAAATGTCATCCTTTATGAGGACATCTGTAATCGTGGCTTTCAATCATGTACTAGATCCTACATGAGATTGGATCATTGAAAGGGGAGCAAAGTTACGCTGTATGGAGACCAGTCTGGCACAAGGCCAGTTAACAGAATTATTGCTGTTGGTTAATTCTCCCTAATAATCTGGCTAACAAAATTCTCACTTAGAGCGCAGACACATACACACATACAAACACACACACACACGTGAATCTTGGGAAATCTAAACAGCAAAATATGTATCTAAAATAAACAATATTTACAGTAAATTTCATGTGGTTTCATCTATTTTTAAAAGTAGGCATTTTTAGGGGTTGCAATTGTATGGGGAATATAAAAATAAAATTTATTATAAAAAATAAATAAAATAAACACAAAAAAAATAAATATGTTATTGCAAAAAAAAAAGTAGGCATTTTTATTCATCCTTTCTAAAGTCTGTAAAATAGTATCTCTAGCAACTTAAAGCCTTGATTATTACTCTTTGTGTCCTAGTACAAGATAATCTTTGCCCTTGTTTGTGCATTTGACATTTAATCAGCTTTTATTGAGCAGTTACTTATGTTAGGCAAAGTAATTAATATAAGGAAATATGTTATGAGTTCCCTACCTTTAAAGGGCTGTACAGTGTGGTGGAAAGGAAGGATGTGTCCGTGAGTAATTAGTGGCTAGCCAAATAGCTGTCTACAAAACTGGAACTGTGATGCTTTGTGAAATCTGATGTTTAAAAGCCCCTTCAACTGATTTGTAAATGTCCCTTCCAGAACTCGGTGCCAGGAACTATTTGGAAATTCAGATAGCTCTGTACTTCCACAGTACTGTTACTAGTACTTTGCTAGAGAGTTGTATTTTATCAGGGCTGAAATTTTCCAGGTAATATAGCAGAGAGAAAGAGAAAGAGACAAGGAATTTGAAAGTGTATGCAAAGACATATTTATATGATGAACCATGAATTTTAAGCTAGGTAAGAGGAAAAGTAAGGGAATAAAGGGACGATGGGTAGTGAAAGTAGATTTTATCAGTGGATAGAAGTCCCATTGGAGTCATGGAATTGTCAACATCCATATGCAAGGAGTGATCTTGAAAGTGAGCCAGTAGAGGTCAGAGAGGAGGACCTCTGAAATTTTAGAAGGGGTGTGGCTGTTGGTAATGATAAAATAAGATCACTGAGCTTTGTTATAAGATGAAATGGAGGGTGTATTTTTCTTTATTAAGCAAGAGAATATTGTGATGAGAAATCATCTTACCTTCAAGATCCTACTCAGATGTTACCACCTATTTAAAGTCTTTGACAACAAACTCTGTTCCTTTTAAATGTTTCCATTGTATGTGTTCATAATGCGTTACCGTCAGTTGTTAAATAATTGTGAGGGCAAGCACTATGTCATATTTACCTTTGGATTCTGAGGAATGACACAATTTATGACGTAATGTGGTGATCATGACTAGGTGTTTTTTCATTTGAATGAGGCGGAAATCATGGTTGAATGAAAGTAGAGATTCTGAGGCATGAAAGAGGAAGTTAATACCTCAGTAAACATGGTTAGTGAAGGACAAGTCGTGTCAAACACATTTAATAACGGAGAACTCAAGCTCTGACTTATCCATGAGCCTTCCATGTTAATTTCTGCTAGTACCATTCATGTTGTTCCTAGTTTTTAGTTCACCATTCTATTTTTCCAAATCATTTCGATTAAAATCACTATCATTTTCTTCCATGCCAGCTTCATAACCTGTCTCCAAAAATATTGTAAAATTCTTTGTAACAGGTCCAAGGGTTTATAGGGCAGTAAAGACTGGCATTCTAATGGACCATGGCAAATGGATACATTATTATCCTTACTATTTTAGTTCATTTCAGAGGACACTGGCATATATGTTAGAACTCTGCTGTCCTTGGTATATTGAATTAACTTTGAGAGAATCAGGAAAAAAAAAACATTTTGTATCTAGCAATTTGTTATGTAAAATTTGTTGAATTAAAGTTAACAAAGATTTGTTTCCTTCAAATGAAACCATGGAGATGTCATTAGTATTCTAAATCTTCATTTCCTGAAGAAATCTTAACTGGCTCTGAAGATACCTTTATTGTAGCATCCTAGAATGCAACACCATATGGCTGCATGGCTCTTTTTCCCTGCAAACAAGTAGTAAATGGTCTTAATATCATTCCTGGGGACCTTGATATAGTTCTGTCATGTAGAATGCTTTTTTATAGTGATGTTTATTAACATGATATTATTTGCATATTCACACATACAACATTACTGAAAACTTGCAGCATAACAAAGAACTATATTTGACCCTTGAACAATGTGGGGTTTAGCCACCAACCCTATGTACTGTTGAAGACCCTTGTACAATTTATGCTTCCCCAAACAGAATACCAGTAATATAAACAGTTGATTAACACATATCTTGTATGTTATATGTATTGCAGATTGTATTCTTATAATAAAGTAAGCTAGAAAAAAAGAAAATATTAAGAAAACATGGGACACATTTATAGTACTTTACTGTTTTTCTTGATACTGTAAGTTTGTTGTTTATTTCTGAGATTTCTACATAAATGCATCTACTCATTTCAACCCTTGTTCTTCAAGGGTCCACTATAGTTAGTCCAAAGTGTATTTTCCATCAAATCACTTTACCAGTGTGTCATAGCATGATTCTTTTTATTAAATTTCGTTATCTTTTTCTGTTACAGGTTTTATTTTACTGGTTGAGTCAAAGCTACATTTTGATACTTTTAGCAAGTCTCTGCCTCCACAAATACTAATATTATAAATTTTATAGAGAATAGCTAACTTGGCTCTGACCTAACCTCTACTATTACCATCAAATCTTAATTTAGTATTGTCTGTGTTGTGAATGCTTTCATGACAGTTTTATTAGTAAACCTCATTCTGTGTTTATTTTTTACTTAAAGGAAAGAGCGCTTGGTGTATGTGGGTATCAGTATTGAAAACATCATTCCTCCACAGGTAAGTTTCTGATTTGTAGTATTTTTAAAGAGACTGCTATGATTGTTCTAAAATTTAACCCATCTTTTGTGTGAGTAGTTTAAAATATGTAGCATACCAGTGTAATGCTACATACCTAAAATGAAAATTTAGGATCTTAAAGAAATCACCTGTAATCATTTATGTTTAAAATTTGGGTACCCAGGTAGTCCCAAAATGTAATATCATACCTAAACCAAATTTATAGGTCAGCCCTTGGGTTTTTGTTCCTTTTTTTTAACCCAAAGTTGGGTGGTTTTTGCCTCATTATATGCTATTTATAAAGAATAGCTCAGGGAGATTTGATTTTGAATTTCCTGCTTTGGGGTTATCAGAAACTTCAACTTGTTCATATTCACAGTTTGGTTTCTTTGATCGAATGTCATTGTTTTACATTTATTAATCTAATTTATAGCAAGGCTGTCTTGTGCGTGAATGCACATATAATGTGGTTTTCATTTGAAATGAGGAAATTTTCTTAGTTTCACAGTTTCTGGTAGGTTTAATTAAATCACACAATTAAATAACTTGTTTTGGTTATTTTCCCTTGACATCATTCTCCTCTCTTCTTTAAGTCCATGATTTCATTTATTCAGCATATCTAGTATATATCTTATGTGTCAAATTTAATTGTCAAGAGATTTATCAATGGAAAAATATTGTTTCAAAAGGAGGTAATTTAAAAACTTAGAAATAAAGATTTTAGTACAATAATGTTTTTTTTTTTTAAGATTTATTTAAGCATTCAAGAACTGGGGTACAGGACAGAGGCGCGGGGAGTGAGAGGATTCACCACAGAGTGGGGACCAGAACAGGCAAATGGACTGAATACACTGCTAAGGGGAGCAGTGGGCGAGAAAGGAGAGGTCTGCTGCGCCATGTGGGTAGTTCCCTGGCCAGCCGAGAGTGGGAGGGTTGGAACTTGTGCTGCAGAGGCTGCGAATAGCTTCACAGTGCTGTGCTTAACTCCTTGCACCACCAGGGAGGCCCTAAAATAGTGTTTTATCACTTATATTCTTTTTTATCTTCTATATACTTAGTGCTGGCATGTTTATTCAGTTTGGAGGGGATAATCATTTTTTAGACCTTTCAACATGTGTTGTCTAGATGAACAGGAGAAAACTATTAATGCTAAGGAACTTTATTCTGTTGTAAGTTCTATATTATCATATTTTTTAACCAGGAGCCAGATTTTTCTGAAGATCATGAAGAAAAGAAAAAAGATTCAAAAAAATCCAAAGCGAATTTACTTGAAAGGAGGTCAACGAGAACACGGAAATGTATAAGTTACAGGTATGAAATGTGTGGAAATGTTTACAATAAAGGAATGTACAATGTTTTTACATTAGAATGACCCAGAAATAGAAGCTTTTCCTCAAAGGTTTATTGGCTTATGTCATCCTCTTATGCTTAACATATTTCATCAGATTTCTGTGGCTCTTAGTATAAAGTTTGATGCCTTTAACAAGATCCACAGAGCACATTACTTAGATTTTCAGTTTTAACTCATCCATATTTCCCTTACTGAATTAGCATCAGTCATACTGTTTTCTTTCAGTCCCTTTGCACGTACTATCCTCTGCCTAGAATTTCCCTCTCATTTTCACTTCTCGATCAAATTTCTTCATTATATGTCCTCATAGCAACCAGTTCTCCTTAAAAGCACTTAATCATAGTCTTGCTCATTGCAATTTTAATCATTTGATTAATAATATGGCCCATGTCTGTATTATGTGTTTTTTTTTTTTTTTTTAAAGATTTTATTTATTTATACAAGCACTGGGTACAGTCAGAAGCGCGGGAGGGTGAGAGAATTCACCAGAGCCAGAGCGGGGAGCAGAGCAGGCAGAAGGACCGAAGTACACTGCTGAGGGGAGCAGCGGGCGGCAGGAGAGGTCTGCGCGCCATGCGGGACCCTCCTCTGGTGGCCGGGGAGCAGCCGGGGAATCGAACTGGTGCTGCAGAGGCTGCGGGCAGCTTTGCAACCCAGCGCTCAACCGCTGAGCCACCGGGGAGGCCCTGTATTATGTGTTTTTCTGTCCTTATACAGCTAGCATATTGCTGACAAATAGTGACAAATCCTAACTGCTCCACAAATTCCTATTGAAAGAATAAATTTTGAAATTTTTGTTAACTGTGTGCCATTAGAAATACCAGGGAGATTTTTCTACTCTATTAGTAGCTGAAGCTAGTCTTACCACCAAACCACCCTGTCCCACTCAAATAATAAATAAAGCCTATTATAATTAATTTAGTCCTTATTTGGCCTGAGGTCTACTTAGAGATTAACTTGAATAACTAAAAATTAAAAGCTTTTACAGAACCTTGAACTTGGTTCATGTTTATAGACTTTAGTGATCATCAAAAATTCTCATGTATAGCTTGTTGTTACTGACATTGTTAAATTTTATGAAATGCAGTGGCATCAGTAAGAGTAGAATCATTAACAGTGTCCATCTCATTCTTTAAAAAAAAAACCTTAAAGAATAAAATATGCCATTTTAAATAAAACAAACCAAAAAAAGTACTATTTTACATAAAATCATTAATACTAATGAGTCAAAGCCTACTGATGGAAAATGCAAGTATAAAGACAGTTCTGCTGTATGACAGTATACACAGTGCTAAAAATTACTGTCAATACATAAATTTTTATTGGTACACTCACTTTCATTCACTTATATTGTCTGTGGTGCAACTTGACAGAGCTGAAGAGACAGAAGTCTACAAAGCCTGGGATATTTACTACCTGACCCTTTACAAAAATATTCACTGATGCCTGGTATAGATGATTTTTGAAAACGAAAACTACAACGTATGAACTAGAAACTGATTTACAAAACCCTGATATCAAAAACAATTGAGGTTAAAGGAGTGAGCTATTGTAGTCCAGGCCATATAGAACTGAAGAGGCAGAGTAGTTTCATAGTCAGGCCATTTTACTTCCAAGGTATCTGTTATTCTAGCCTAATGCATGAATACACAGATTTTACTTTCTCGGGATGTATCTGATGCCAGGATAGGCTTTAATGTGACTATTGTATATATCTTAGATTTGATGAGTTTGATGAAGCAATTGATGAAGCTATAGAAGATGATATCAAAGAAGCTGATGGAGGAGGTATGTGTTTATCATTCTTTTTCTTATAACCCTGCAAGTGAATCAATTAAAATGCCCTTAATAGAGTAGTGAGCATATTTATTTAATTTTCCTCCCCATGTGCTCATAATCACTGCTGATGTTAACTGTCATAAGATTCAAAATTTTCTGTGGACATAGTTTCCATGTAGATTCAGATCTTACTAATTTATTTTTAAGGATTTATTTATTAAAGAAGAACTGAGGTCTAGGCCAGACGTGCTTGGGGGAGGGGCAGTGAGAGGCTGGCTTCACCAGAGGCAGAGTGAAGAGCAGAACAGGCAGATCCACTGAAAAACACTGCTAAGGGGAGCAATGGGCAAAGACAGGAGAGGTCTGCTGCACCATATGTGGGCCAGCTCCCTGACAGGGACTCAAACTTAGGTCATAGCAGTGATAACACCAAGAACTAGGCCACCAGGGAAGCCCTTATATATAATTTTTTTTAGTGATTTTTTTTTTTAATTGAAGGAACATTTTATTTTGACACTATAAGTTTCAAGTAAAGTAGCTTGTTTTATGATCTGATATAAAACACAAACATTCCTCCATATATTGAAAAATAACTTTTGAATCCAAATTGGAAACTTTTCTTTCTGTTGTCTTTCTATTTTTAGTTCACCTTTGCTATAAACATTTCAAAAATAATGGATAATCAGAATTTACTGATTGATTTAAATTAAACTTTAAAAAATTAGTTTATTTCACAGTCTTTACTCAGTGACACTAAAATAGAATTTGAAGGTAACTAAAGGACTATATAACAAATTACCATTTCTCCATTATGGAGCTTTGTGGTTCTTTTTAGTTATTATGAGAACTCTGGAAAAGATTACTTAAATAGGTTTTAGTGGAACTAAAGACATCACTAGCTTTTCCAGTTGTGTATGCTTATTTACATCTTTGCTGCTGAATTTTCACTTTTTCTGTCCTGCAAACAGTTTAAAAAAGAAAAAAATGGATTGGCCTCTTTCTAAAGACATGTCCAAAAGACAACTTTCAAGAAGAGATTCTTGAGTGATTCCTAATAGTATGAGATTCCTTTGGGAGGGTGATGAAAATGTACTGGAATTAGTCAGTGGTGATGATTGCACAATTTTGTGACTACACTTAAAACCTCCAATTAATACACTTCATTTTTTTTAAGATTTACTTATTTATGCATACAAGAGCTGGGGTACAGGCCAGAGGTGTGGGGGAGTGAGAAGATTCACCAGAGACAGAGTGGGGAACAGAACAGGCAGACTGACTGAAACACACTGCTGAGGGGAGTAGCGGGCAAGACAGGAGAGGTCTGCTGTGCCATGTGGGTAGCTCCCTGGCCGGCTGGGGATCGAACTCGTGCTACAGAGGCTGCGGACAGCTTCATAGTGCTGTGCTTAACCCCTTGTCCCACCAGGGAGGCCCCAAATTAATACACTTTAAAAGGGTGAATATTATAATATGTGAATTATATAAAAAAAATTTTAAGTTTCTCTTCCTGGTTAACTTCTATTTAATAGGATAAAGGAATGCACAGATACTCTTGATAAGAGCTCTTGAGCTGAAAAGAAAACTGCCAATTTGTAGGGAGACTATAAAGTAAATGAAAAGCTGTTAAGCACAAATTAGGAACTCTCCAGATATTAAAGGAAACTGTTAATATACGTAGTTGTCTCTCTTTCTTCCCCACCCCCTGTCCCCAATGCAGGAGTTGGCCGAGGAAAAGATATCTCCACCATTACAGGTCACCGTGGGAAAGACATCTCTACTATTTTGGATGAAGAAAGAAAAGAAAATAAACGGCCCCAGAGGGCAGCTGCTGCTCGCCGGAAGAAACGCCGGCGACTAAATGATCTGGATAGTGACAGCAACCTAGATGAAGAAGAGAGTGAGGATGAATTCAAGATCAGCGATGGGTGCGTGTAGCGAAAACCCACTCCTCAATATAGGTGTAAAAGGGGCTGGCAGAGACATGTGGTCACTGTGATGGGGTATTTGTTCTTCATGCACATAGACAACCTCTTTCATTTCTGGCATATTTAAAACAGATTCAGATATGCTGATCTCAGTGTAGAAAGTAGTTCTAATCATTGTTTAATATTCAAAATTGTATTTGAATTTTATTAACTGCACTTGAGCATGCACTTGTGAGTTTTTGATATACCTCTCTGCACCATGTCCATGGAGGGTTCCCACGCATTTTTGACATATATCCCACAAGTAGAAGTAATTAGATACTATTCTCTGGTGACCTATAGAGGTTTGGGTTGGGGCAATCAATGCAGTGTAGAAGATCAGGAAAGCCTCTCCTACTGTACAGGTATTGAACAATGCTACAAAGGTTCTCTTTGATTGTGGTGGGCAAAATAAGAATATAATCCACAAAAAAGTCTGACTACTAACATAAATGTTTAGCCTAAAGAAGAGAGTCAGATCAGTCCAGGGAAGCCAAAGACAGTATCACAGTGGAACTAACACTTGATCTGAAATTTGAAGAGTAAATAATTGGGCAGATTGATAAGTTAGGGATTAGAAGCTGGATGAGGAGAGAAGACATTCTTAAGTGCAGATAAGTAGCAAGGCATAAAGCACAGAATATTAAGAAAACTTCTAGTGTATCATGATAGCAAAAACATGGAGAAGAAATAGACAGTGCCCTGATAGATATGTGTCTAAGAGATCAAAAGGAACCAGATGATGGAGTATTTTGTTTTTCATGCATAGGATTTTGGGCTCTATGTGAAGATGATGAAAACCCTCTGAAGGGTTTTATTATTTTTTTTTTTTTTTAAGGCATGTATTATTTATTTGTTTGTTTGTTTGTTTATACATGCACTGGGCACAGTCAGAAGTGCAGGAGGGTGAGAGAATTCACCAGAGCCAGAGCGGGGAGCAGAGCAGGCAGAAGGACCGAAGCACACCGCTGAGGGGAGCAGCGGGCAGCAGGAGAGGTCTGCGCGCCATGTGGGACCCTCCTCCGGTGGCCAGGGAGCAGCCGGGGATCGAACCGGCGCCGCAGAGGCCACGGGCAGCTTCGCAACCCAGAGCTCAACCGCTGCACCACCGGGGAGGCCCCTCTGAAGGGTTTTAAACAGCAGACTAATATATATGGTTTATGATGCATCCAAAATTCATTTGGAGGAAATGAGTCTAGAGCTCTGGGAGACTATTTGGGGAATTGCTACAGTAGTTTAGTTGGGAAATGAGAGCCTGCGCAGAGAAAAGAGGTCAGGATTGAGGACTTTGTAAGAGGGAGACTCAAGAGGAATTAGTAATTGATGAGATGTGAAAATGAAAAGGGAGAAATTAAGATAAATGCCAACTTTTTAATTTGAATTACTGAATGTGATAACACCAAATGTCAGGCTAGGGAACAGAAAAGGGGAATTGGATAGTAAATAATGAGTTCATTTTGAAGTTTAAGATGCCTTTGAGACATCTTAAGGGGCCAGAGCAACTTCTACACCAAAGTCAACATCAATTAAAAAAAAAATAGATGGCAAAACATTTCTCCATTTCATCAATAGAGAAATTGATACAAATACCCAGATATCTTACATTAATCATTACTTAATGTTTCACTGGACAGCTTAGAATTTGAACTCAGAATTCTCACAAATAAGTTCATAGCTTTAAGTATACCATCATAATTCATCTGACTTTTCTTGGCAGATCTCAAGATGAGTTTGTTGTATCTGATGAAAACCCAGATGAAAGTGAAGAAGACCCACCTTCTAATGATGATAGTGACACTGACTTCTGTGGCCGGAGACTGAGACGACATCCCTCCCGGCCAATGAGGCAAAGCAGGCGTTTGCGGAGAAAGACCCCGAAGAAAAAGTACTCTGATGATGATGAAGAGGAAGAGTCTGAAGAGAATAGTAGAGACTCTGGTATAAAGAACTTTCATCCATATCACACCAACTCAAATTCTTATGACTTCTGGAGTTGAGAGTTCCTAAAATTTGTGCTCTCTTTGGCAGCACATGTAGTAAAAATTGGAACCATAAAGAGTTCCTGAAATTCTACTCAATTGTAATGATTAATTTTGTGATAAAAGTTCTGATGACTCACTGTTAACTAGATTTTTCACATAAGGCTCATATAAAAACATACATACAGATGGATGCATTAACTTCAGAATAAAATCATTAAGGATTGTGGTGAATTCTTTTGGTGCCAAGTATCTCCACGCCTAGACTATCTCCATAGTGTTTCCTATAAATCATGAATTTTAAATAAGCTGAGAATGTTTTTCTCAAATGCCTGCTATTGAAAAGGATGGGTCACCAGTTATCCCTAACATTTAGACCATACGCAGTGATTCATTGGTGTTTTTAATAAGCAGTAGCTGGTGTTACAGTTTTTACTTATCCCTGTTAACTGAATAGAGGCATACCAGCTAAAAGATCAGATATGAGTTGCAATGATTATTTCCTAAGAACAGGACAATGTCTTTTTATTTTTTTTAAACAAGGCCATTTTCTTACACATTACAATTATCAAAATAAGAAATTTTTTTAAATTTTTATTTTTAACATCATTGTTCATTTTTAAACAATATATGCTTGCCCCCACCCCTTCAGGTGTACTGCCCATAGAATTTCCTTCATCAACGCACCCATGCACCATCACCACAGTCACCTGTGCTCCTTCTCCTCCCATCAAAATCAGAAATTTTAACATTGATATAATAGTTTACATTAATATGTTAATATAATATTTTTATAATCAATAGTATACAAATTTCATCAGGTGTCTTTTATATAAATTTTTTTTCTTGTCCAAGATCTAGTCCAGACTAGACCTTGCATTTACTCATCTTGCATTTACTCATGTCTCTTTAGTCTCCTTTCATCTAGACTAGTCCACAGACAAAAGATTCTGTCTTTTGATTTTGACATGTTTGAAAAATACATGCTAGTTATTTTGTAAAATACCCCTCTATTTCCTTGTGATTAGATTCAAGTTATGCATTTTGGAGAGGAATATCAGAATTAGTATATGTCCTCCAGGTCTCTTTATAATTTTTCATTTTGTAATTAGTAAGTAATTTGTAAGAAGGTATTTTGAGTGTATTTTTCAGGTCCTTATCAGGTCTTTTACCTGCTAGTTATAGCATTCATGGATGATTTTCTCATCTTTCCTTTCATATTTATTTTTTGGTGTTCTATAAGGGAGAATATTCTCTTCTCCCCTGTTTGTCAGTTCATACTTGTTGACTCTTAGTTTAGTCAATGGGTAGGATATGCTACCTCCAAAACTTAGGCTTGATTTGTCCCAGATTTGGACAGTGGCACCCCTTCACACTATTGGCTAGCCATTTGGAAATGTTTTAAATCTATTAAGGAGCAAGGCTGGATGTGGTCATGTGGTCATTCTGTAGAATTTGTTAGCACTCCTGAAAAACTGCTCTCACACAGTATTATATATAGTCTGACTCTGGTTTATTCATCATAGATGACAGGGACAGTGCTATTTTGCAACACCTGAGAGTTCAAGTATTCATGTATGCTATATTTAGCCAATTTTAAAGCAATATGGGAAAAAAAAAAAGCCTAAAATAGATCTCCAATTCTATACTTTTTTGAAACAGGACTATCAGCTTTCTCTGGTGTGAGAATTTAACCAGTGAAGTACATTGTGAAATTGTGACTGTAGCTATACAGCTACATACACAAGAACAGCAGATTAAATGGGTCAGAATATAGTTACTGTCCACCAAGAAGAGCAGTTGGTGCAGCTGACCAGGTAGCTCTAGACTGAATGAGATAAGGGTTGCATAAAATATTTTCTAATTTCAAGGATTGACTGCTAATAGAATATATTTATGTGGTTTGGCACTAGAGATCTCCACAGATTTATTAATGCTGTTAAAAAGGAAATGTAAGGCTTATAAAAGTTAGTATTCATTGAAAAATATGGCTGACCTCTGCTTCCTAGCTTTTTATGTTCTTATTACCTACCTACAGCTGCTCCTTTTCTTTTACAGAAAGTGACTTTAGTGACGATTTTAGTGATGATTTTGTAGAAACTCGGCGAAGGCGATCAAGGAGAAACCAGAAAAGACAAATTAACTACAAAGAAGATTCAGAAAGTGATGGTTCCCAGAAGAGTTTACGACGTGGTAAAGAAATCAGGCGTGTTCATAAACGCAGGCTTTCTAGTTCAGAAAGCGAAGGTAAGGAAAATCTCCAATTTACAAAGTTTGGACAAGGCGGATGTTATAAAATCCACCTAGGGTTATGATTCTTTACTGTTTCTTAGAAATTCAGTATAACCAGTAATATCGTTGAGCAAAACCCTTTATTTTGTGCCTGGTCACTACTTATAGTTAAATAAATGATACTAGATAAATAGCTAATTTTAAGCTCTCCGTTATAATTATTTTTCATTGAAACTGAAGAGTCTTAGAAATTGGTGGTTTAGGCAATATTTCTTCTCCCTTACTATTCATGTCCTTCATTTTGAAATAACTTCCTATGCCCTGAATATTAATAAGTCCAAACCAAGGTGTCTTTCTACCTTGACAGTGAACTTCATTGGTAACCCTTAGTTCTTCATAGCTTTAGCTGTATCTCTTACCAGAAGTGCAAGAAAAATTCTAACATATGAATTTTTAATATTTATTTTGTTTGTAATTACTCTAAAGTTCTAAGTTCATGTTAAATTATGCTCTCAGCTTTCCCCCTTTGTTTCTTATAGTCTCCAATATTTGTGGTCTGTTTTGCAGATTGTTTGCTTTCATAGATCTTTGTCAATTAAGTTTTAGCCCACCTCCCCGGTGGCGCAGCGGTTGAGCGCTGGGTTGCGAAGCTGCTCGCAGCCTCTGCAGCACCGGTTCAATCCCCAGTTGCTCCCCGGCCACCAGAGGAGGGTCCCGCATGGCGCGCAGACCTCTCCTGCCGCCCGCTGCTCCCCTCAGCAGTGTACTTCGGTCCTTCTGCCTGCTCTGCTCCCCGCTCTGGCTCTGGTGAATTCTCTCACCCTCCCGCGCTTCTGACTGTACCCAGTGCTTGTATACATACATACATACATACATACATACATACATACATACATACATAAATAAATGTTTTAGCCCATTTCAGGAGAATAGGGAAAACAGTGTTTGGATAGGAAGACTAAAGAAGGGAGGTGAACATCTGGTTAGTTGTGCATTTATCTTAAAGACAAATGTAAATTTTTTTTATATGAGATTTTTTTAATTAGATTTATTTATTTATACATACAAGAACTGGGGTACAGGCCAGAGGTGTGGGGGGGCGAGAGGATTCACCAGAAACAGAGCGGGGAACAGAACAGGCAGATTGTCTGAAATACACTGCTGAGGGGAGCAGCGGGCAAGTCAGGAGAGGTCTGCTGTGCCATGTGATGGTCACCTCCTTGGCCGGGGATTGAGCTCATGCTGCAGCGGCTGTGGACAGCTTCATAGGTTGCGTCTTAACCCCTTGTGCCACCAAGGAGGCCCGACAAACGTAAATTCTTAATGCAGCTATTAAAATCAAATATTCATTGAACTAGTCACTATTCTAGGCACTAGTAATAGAACAGCAATCAACATGGTCAAAAATACCCCTTGTTCTCATGTAACTCTTATTTTAATGGGGGGAGGGACAACAAACAAGATAAATAAGTAGAATATATTGTATATTAAGTGGATATGGTGCTGTGGAAAAAAATAAAGGAGGAAAGTAGGTTGAGGACAGTTGGAATTTCAAAGAGGGTTCTAAATGAATGCCTCATTAAGTAAACAGCATTTGAGTTAAACCCCAAAAGAAATGTTATCTGTGAGTCACTCTGTTATCTAAAAGAGGAGCAATACAGGCAAATGGAACAACAGATGTGAAGGTCTTTCGGCATATATTGCATGTTTAGAGAACTTAAGGGAGACCAGGGTGGTTTGAAGGAATGAGTGAGGTATAGAATATTGTCACATGAAGTGAAGAGATCACTGGGGCAAGATCATGTAGAACAGTAGTCAGTGAACTGCAGCCTGTTTGTTTGTATAAATAAAATTTTTGTAAGTCATTTTTTTTATTGGGCTTTCATGCCAAATTGAGTAGTTGTAATAGAGTCATAGGTCCTGTCCTTTGCCCCTCACACCCCAAAGTGACTATTGTGACTGAGGAACTGAATTTTTTGTTTTTAATTTTAAATAAATTGTTAAAAATAACGACATATGACTAGTGGCTACCATATTGGACCAACTGTAGACTATTGTATAGACTGGATTTTATTCTGTGTGAGATGACAAATAATTGAAGGATTTTGAGCAAAGAAGTGATATGAGCATATGAAATGTAAGCTTCAGTTTGCTGTGGGAGCTGTCTTACAAATAAATTGAAGGAGGCCAGGCAGAATCTAGATCAGTTGGGTAGCTGTTGAAATAGGTCAGATGAGAGAGGTGGTTAATGAGACTGGGGCAGTAGCAATAATGGGGGAGGAGGGGGACAAGCAGTCAAATTAGGGACATATTTTGAAGCGAGACCCAAAGGATTTCCTGATGGGCTAGAAGTGGGTAGGGGTAAGGGTGTAGAGGAATCAAGGATGACTGAATGATTAGAAGAATGGTTTCCAATAACTAAAATGTAGAGACCAAAATGGCAGAAGTTTAGGATCTCAATTCTAGACACATTTTGCTTGAGTTGCCTTTTTTAAAAACTGAAGCATAGATGTTGAGTAGGCAGTTTATACATGAGCCTGGAATTTAGGGGTTACCTAAAACAAATGTGTGAGAGTCACCAGCATACAATCGGTAATTAAAGCCACGAGGTGAGATCATTTAAGATGAAACTAAGGATAATAGGGACATTTAATAACACGGGATGAGAGCTTAGTGTTTCAGCTCTCCAGTGTTGGGTGCTCAGTTTTAATCTTTCCTTTTTAGTATGTTACGTGATTGCCTAATTTAGGACTAGTATGACTAAAGTCATCGACTTAAGGATCATCAGATATGTTTGTAAATCTGATTCTGGTCATGCCTAAGCTCATACGAAAATATGCTGTGGATCATACCAGACATCGGTGTGGGCTGAGAGGAGAGAGGTGAGGCCAGTTACTGAAAGGAAGTACTTATATATGAGCAAGCCTGAAAGAAGGATGTGGGTGAATAGGGGGAGAAAAGAAGGAATTACTTAACTCTGTGGTTAACTGTGCCAATGGCATAAATATGCTGTTTATTCTAGAGAGCTATATGTCCAAGAACTCTGAAGATGATGAGCTAGCTAAAGAATCAAAGCGGTCAGTTCGAAAGCGGGGTCGAAGCACAGATGAATATTCAGAAGCCGATGAGGAGGAGGAAGAGGAAGGCAAACCATCCCGAAAACGGCTACATCGGATTGAGACGGATGAGGAGAGTTGTGACAATGCTAATGGAGATGCAGATCAGCCTGCCTGTGACAACCAGCCCAGGGTTCTGCCTTCGGAACAGGAGAGCACCAAGAAGCCCTATCGGATAGACAGTGATGAGGAAGAAGACTTTGAAAATGTAGGCAAGGTGGGGAGCCCGTTGGACTATAGCTTAGTGGACTTACCTTCCACCAATGGACAGAGTCCTGGCAAAGCCATTGAGAACTTGATTGGCAAGCCCACTGAGAAGCCTCAGACCCCCAAGGACAGCAACACAGCCAGTGCAGGCCTGGCCCCCAATGGAACAAGTGGTGGGCAAGAGGCAGGAGCACCGGAAGAAGAGGAAGATGAACTTTTGAGAGTGACTGACCTTGTTGATTATGTCTGTAACAGTGAACAGTTATAAGACTTTTTTTCCATTTTTGTGCTAATTTATTCCACGGTAGCTCTCACACCAGCGGGCCAGTTATTAAAAGCTGTTTTATTTTTCCTAGAAAACTCCACTACAGAATGACTTTTTAGAAGAAAAATTTCAACAAACCCTGAAGTCTTTCTGTGAAGCGACCAGTTTTGAACTTTGAAGATAAATAATTGCTGTAAATTCCTTTTGATTTTCCTTTTTCAAGTTCATGGTCCTTGGTAATTTCATTCATGGAAAAAAAAAATCTTATTATAATAACAACAAAGATTTGTATATTTTTGACTTTATATTTCCTGAGCTCTCCTGACTTTGTGAAAAGGGGTCGATAAGAATGCATTCCAGATCTGTGAGGGCCCAAGACAGAACTAGGGGTGGGAGAAAGCACTTGTGCTTTAGCTTTTTCATATTAAATATATATTATATTTAAACATTCATGGCATAGATGATTAACAGACTGTTTAAAAGTGCAAGTCTGTATTGTTGCAGTGTGAGAATTGTAGATAACATCATACATAAGTCATGTAGTAATAGCGTTCATGAAATCAACTTGTTTACTCTTGGAGATAACCACACTTAATAAAGAAAAGACCGAGAAAGTACCATCAAAAATCTCAAACCTAAGTTTCTGTTCTAGCGGAGTTTCTTGCTTAAAAAAAGTCATCCGAAAGCATTTGTACAGTAAATGTATAATGAAGCTTTGACAACCAGATTGTGCTAGCAGCAAATTTCTAAAAACAGCTTTACTCAGTGGTGATGTGGTGGCCTCAAATATACTATCATGGAGAGTTATTAGTGAAATGAGTGTGGTCTTTCTTAAGTCCCAGGTGGACTAAACTTTGCAGATAATGTAACTCTTTCTCGTCTGGCCACTAAATATTTAAGTATCTAAAATATCATTTTGAAAGAAACGCATCTATACAACATACATGAAGAGATGCTAAACTGACAACGATATTTTAGCACATTTGAAGAAGGGGAAAGGATTTTCAGGTGAATTTTAACTGGTCTATTCTTGCCCTTAGTATCTACTTCAAATTGAAGTCTACAAACAAAGCAGTTCCTTTGGGAGGTTTTTAGTTTTGAGTTTTAGCGTGTGTGTGTCTGTGTGTCTGTGTGTGCGTGTGTATGTGTGCGCGCACACGCGTGTGTGTTTCTGTGTGTGTGTTGGAATTTCCTATCTGCCTGGATATATTAGCAGGGTTTGAATGTAGTTTTGGCCTTTGGCCATTAGACTTCTATTAAAATTCATTAATAGTCATATGACCAACATAGAGTTGAATGAGAACCAATATACAGTAGGCATGACATCCATTTCAAACATCTCAACACTTTAAAAAGAAAGATACGCCCTTTATTTCAAGAAAAAGGAGTTTGTAACTAAAGAAATATGTAACTTGTAATTGACACTAAAATATGAACTTTGTCTTATTTAGTTTCTGTTACAGCTGTAAAATTTCAGGCAGAGCCATAAATAACATTGTACAAAGTATAGCACTTGTGATTAAACCTTGCCTGTCAAATTCTGAAACCTTCAGCCATTACTTCTGTGAATACTTTAGCCCTGGGATTTGGGTTTTTCTGTTCTGTGTTGTGTCTGTTGCCGGCAATGGACACACCATATCTGCTGCTGGCCCACGGAACTTCATTCATTTTTCTTTCCAAATTAAGCATCATATGTATTAGTCAGTGTATAGTAAAGCACTTCTTTTTTACTACTAAAAAGCTGGCATTAGATTTGCATTATAAATACCTCTCTAGAAATTTTATACTCCTTTTCCTTCTTCAACAGGTGTTGCCCTTAAATCTTATCTCTTGACTTTGAGAGTTTATAGCTGTCGTTTTTCAGTTGTTGTTCTTTTGTTTGTTTTTTTGTTTCACTTTAGTTCTGTAGTACCTGCCTATTAATATTTTGCTTTGATTCTAGCAATGTATATGTATCTGTATAAAAAATAAAATAATGAAAGCAGCCTAAAAATAGGATGCACCAATAGCATGTGGTTCCAAGTAAGTTGTGATTTTTATTTTGAGACAATGTTCCCTGGAAGGGAGGGAAGGGTTTACATTCACAGACAGTAGAGTAGGGCTGTATACGGAGCCACATTTACTTACCAAAACTCCTTTCTAGCTAGGTTTGGCTCATTTATTTGAAAGTTGATTAAGAATGTTAGTCTTTTTAACTATCTAAAACAGGCAGACAACAAAAGGATGCCTGCTGTCGCAAGGTAAGTGGTGCGAATGCACAGTGGCCTATCCCGCAATGCAGTCTCCACCCCAGTCTACCGTTTTAGTCTTGCAGCTGGGTAAAGCCACTTTGGGGTAGAAATGCTCATGTTCCCTGTCACTCTCTGGACTCCACACCAGTTCCCGCTTCCACAGATTAGTTCTTCTTAGCTGAGCACGTGATAAGAAGTCTTAAGTAGGGAGATTATTTATTTTAACAGGATGCCTAATGTGAAGTAAGGAGTTCTCTTTACCCTTCTGCTATAGAAAGCCAAAGGTAATTTTTATCATAGTAAAGACTGAGTATTCCATTTGGCAAATATCCCATTAACTGAGTTATGATACCATTTTTGCTGCCTGATCTTTACCAAACTTAAATTATGTGTTTGTGAATTTGATAGTGAGTGTATCTGTTTTAACCTTATATTGTGATTAAACCAGTTAACTATGCTTCACCTACAAAGAGTGCAATCCAAGCAGCTGATACTTCCACATTATTATGTATATAGACCGATTATGGATAATTAAATTTTGAACAGTTCAAAAACATTTGTTGCGGTGTTTAGATTTGGTCCCTCAAAGGCTTCCAAATTTTTAATTCACTGAAATAACTCTGTGCTTTGAAGTTAGAAAAAAATTAGGAAGAAGTCAATGTTCTTTATCCAAAGATACAATTCAGTCACTAGGAACTAGACAAAGTACAAGAAAGCAGTGATTCATCTGGAGTTTAGAATATCTTTGAACCTTGTTATTAGAGTATAAACCATGGGTTTAGGTTCACAGTAATTACTATATAATAGAGTCCCTTAATCCTTTCAACCCCTTTTTTTAAATACCAGTATCAAACCCCACATTTATAGCAAATGTATTAATAGAGGAGATGTAGTTTAGTTTCAGAATATTTAGCGTGCAATTTCTGTAAAGATTTGAAAATTAGCCCAGTTTTCACAAAGCAGAAGCTTTGAATTAAAGTGAAATATATGTGAAAAGAACTCAGAAAATAACATTTTGGTTTTGTAGACTTGTGCTGATGAAATAGTGGTTAAGTGTAAAACATTTTCCATTGTTAGCACGTTTCTGGAAAATGATGGCAGAGATATTGTCAAGAGCATACCTGATACACTGAGGTTGTGTTTCCTTAACACTTCCTTTTCCAGTTGGTCAAGATTGCAGATTCAGAGCATAAAGAGGAGTTTCGTGTAGAATAAATTCATGTCTATCGATAATTTTTTAAAATGTCACCTGCCAAAGAACCAAGGGCTTTGAATGTTAGAGAAGTTGTTGGGGAAAAAAGATTTTAAACATTCATTTTAAAAAATATTGCAATTTCCACTTTTCACTTTTTGGTTGATAGAACCCATCCCATGCTATACATTTGAGCAAAGTACATATATTTAAAAAAAATGTAGCTGTTTACTTGTAATTTAGAGTTAAAATAATGGGAAGATATTAACTATTTTTAAGTGGGATTGATGAAGTTTCCTTTGTCACAAGTAATCCCGTTTTAGTTTGTGGATGTAAGAGATGGTAATCATTTACTAGATCTACCACACAACTGAAAGGAAGCTGATGAATCTACAAGTTTAATATTCAGAAAAACTTGTGAACTCTGCCCTTCACAACACAGTGGAATGAGTCTATGATTCATGGCACTGCCTCACAGCTATAGAACAAGTATTAAAAACCCAGTTTTTTAAAAATGAAATGAACATATATATGTATACACACATATGTATATGTATGTATGGGTATATATACATACCTTAGATAAGAAAATGAATCCTTTGAAATCATTAACATAAAAGATATAAGGCAAATAATTGTAACTGATAGGAAATTATGAACATTGGATTAGAGAAAATCTAGAGAAAAATAGTGAAGTTCCTCTTCTTGGCTTGACAGTCTAAAAATATATTCCTGCCTTTCCCAAAAAGCAGAATGCCAAGACTGCATATCTGCTATAATCTACCTAGTCCTCTACTTAATACCTATTATTAACTTCCTTAGAATAAAATCCATTCCTATTTTATCCACCATTCCCAGTGTGTATCTGTATACATACCCACCTTGCAAGTGGCAAACTAACTGCTGATTTGCTTCATTGTTTTTATTCTAATCTTGAAAGACAAGGCCCTTCACTATCGGTGTATTTAAACCGGGTTATTGTGTTCTGTGTACACTTCAAATTTTATTTTTGAGATATTTCACTTCAATATCATTTAACATTTTTTGAGTGCCAAGAATTGCTATGTAATATTGTTCAGAGTCATTCCCAAGCAAGCAAACAGTCGTAAGCCAAAATGTAGTGTGTTTGGTATATAACCACTACAGACTGTATGCGCAACCTTTTTTTAAACTGTTATTCACATAAACCCTCTCAGAAATCATCCCCCCTTGCCATTTTAGTCATGTAAGCTCTTGTTTCATTTTATATTCACACTATTTCACTGTGGAAAATGCTTCAAATCTAATTCTGGCACGTTGTTAACGATTTCAATTAATGAAGATGTTTTTATTTTAATAACTTAAGATAATGTCTATCCTATGCGTAAGTTATATACAGGGCATAACAAATTATTAGATGAGTAGAAATTTATTAATTCAGCTCTTCAGACATTTTGAATGAAAAAAAAAACATTTTTAAAGTAACCACATTTGTGTTTTTTGCCAAACCGGTACAAGCTAGAAAATGCACTAAGGACTGAGTGACCTGCCTTGTTCTTTTTGCCACTGGATGATGTAAGTTAAGAATAGAATTGTTAACTATATATTTTCTTGACTTTCATCAGTTTCTAAAAGAAATCTAATTTAAGTGTATTTATTGAGTTCTGGTCATAGGTCAGGAACTGCATGTCATGCTTACGGACGTCCAGAACAGTCATTGGGAAACTTAATGACTTAAGACCTTCTGAATCATTTAACTTATTTTGTATGTTGCAAAAAAAATTTATTTTGCTTGAGAGTCACAATTTTTATAACTGTACAGCTTTTAAGGGATGGGAGGTGGAAAAATACCCTAAAATAGGATGTAGATTTTTACAATTGTGTTTATGCTAGAACATCTACAGGTGCATTATGTAATTAAACCTAAAATTGTCTAAAAATCTGTGCCATGGTCTTTTTCATTCTCCTGCCCTTTAGCAGAGTTGGTGCATGTCAATACTGTTAGATGGACAAGCCTTGAAATTAGGCTAACAACCCTTCTCTCCAAAGCTTTAAGATCATTGCATGAAAATTATACGCACGCACACCCACACACACACCACACACTAGATGCGTACATATACACTCAGATCTAGTTTTTTTAGTGTAAATGGATTTTCAACTTCAGAACAGCTATAATAACCCAAAGCTGGCATTTAACAGTATATTCTTAAAAGTGTGTGATTTTTGTGATGACTGACTAGGATATTCTTAATGTTGGTCTGGTGTTTTGTTCTCTTACCAAAGTAATTTCTTGATAATGATATCTGAATTGTAGCTTGTCCAAACCTGCTAGGAGGCTTTGTATACACCTTGAAAATGAGTGCCCTATACTTAGATGGGGGTGAGGGTGGAGCTAAGCTTGGTTTCTCTTCAATCTGTTAGAAGGAAAAATAAGATTTGCTCAATTAGCTACTTATTCAGTAGGCTTAATTCCACAGAAATAGTTGTCTGTTGGAAGCATAGCAGGACGAGAGATCAGATTCAAATTCAAATTCCCTCATTTTATCAAAAGTATTTTCAAATCAGGTAGTGTTGCCAATTCTAAGGCTTTTTTTTACAGGGCACATTTTATCATATTAACACACCTTTGTTTAAATGCCAGTACTTTTTAGCATCTGATAATTTGCCATTCTAATTTCTCACTTTTTGTAGCACAAATGGATTCTTGAAGAATGAAATTCATCTAATGTGTCAAATTTTATCTAAGCTGTCATTATCTGTTGTCAGCTGATGTGAGATCTCAGTTTCTTTGCTGTCCTCACCTGTTCATGAATTTCAGGGAATCATGTTTTTCCAGGTGAAGAAAGAAAACAAATTCCATATTAAAGTTTGTAAATGGCATAAGTTAGGTCTTCATTTTTATTTAGTAATAGTAGCTGGGATTCCGGGAGTGTTTGATAGCCTGCCTCTTGGATTTTCAGACATGCTATATGAAATGCTTTATTTTTCCTATGCATAAAAAATGATTCCCAGAATAGGTGCTCAGAATGCTTTATTTTGTTCCTAAGTGATGAGAGCTAAAGCAGAAGCTCCAGATTAGCATAAAACAGTTGAGGTGATCAGGAACATGCTGTTAGGCAAATAGGAGGAGCTGGAGTACTCTCTGCCACTTTTAATGCATGCGTGAGGGGGGAAGGGATTTGAAAACTGGAAATGTGATTTCAGTAACTGCACAAAGTAAATTTTGTGCATTAAAAAAAATGGGAATTCCTGATAGCTTAAAGCTTCAGGAGTTAGCTGCAGTGTATGAACACCTAGTGTGTTAGAATCACAGTGCATAGTTGTTTAAAAACAATATTCCTGTAAGTAACAACCAAAATATGTTGTGGCCAGTGCCAATATTTTTGTTAATGAAGTGTTCAATGTCTCACTACAGTCTGATCAGAAATATTGGTGTTATAAGCCAGGCCTAAAGCTATTTTATAGTTCCTGGCCTAACTCTGTAATTTTTTCTTTCAAAATGTTTTATTATATTTCTGTCATTTCTTTCACTTAATATATGTCAATTGTCATAATAAAAAAATTAAATAATTTGATGTATTTAGCATGATTTGTTTGCAAACCTAGTTTATTTTAAACTGACACAGAGAAAGCTAATTAAAGGGTGAACTTTATCACTCAAAACGGATGAATTATTCTATTAGAAATTAAATTTTTAAGTTCATCAATTTCTTCCAAGTAATCTTTAAGGCTATTTGCCAACTAGGCTAACTATAGATACTAGGAAGATAGTCTTGATTTCTATCTTTAGCCTCTGGAGAACTGACACATTAAAGAGGCCTTGGATTTGTTCTGTGTGGCCCTGTGGGAGCACAAAACTAGACCAGAGGGAAGAAACCATAAGGCAAAAGCTTTCCATTTATTCTGTGGGAAAAGGTTTGGTTTTTGTTGTTGTTTTTTTTTTGTTTTTTTTTTTTGTTTTTTTTTTCAGAATTCTCTAATAACAATCTTGGGATAGCTGAGTTTAGTTCGTAGTGCCATTTGGCAGGAGTATTATAGGCCAACAAATTCAAAAAGGGGTAAGACCAGGTGACTTTAAGGGACCATTCTAATCCTGAGTATGATTCTCATCTACAAATGTTGATTTGATAGATTTTCCTTGCTCATAGAATACAGTAAGATTCATGGGGAACTTATTTTTTACCAACAAACTACTGGGGGGTTCATCACTATTTGCAATTCTGATTTAAAATATTAACTAGGTAAAGAGATTAGAATTTGAATTTCACTTAATGAAGTGATAGGTGATGTGTGCTGGCAAGAAATAACAGCTACAATGCTTCTCTATGATTATTTGAAATTTTTAACAGGAAGTGGAGGTGACAGTGCTGTAAAGCCTTGACAGAATGCCGTGAGGTTGAGATTAGGGTCCAGAACATAGCCATCAGCCTATGTCACTTTCAGATGATGAGACGAGAGCATGTAGAAGAGTTTTCTTTTTAAAAACTTGAGACATGCTGTGATGTTTAGTAAACGTGGGATTATTTTAAATACAATGAAAATATCCTAGAAACTAAATGTTGGGTGAAAGGAATGCTTACCTCGTTTTGCTACTTCAGTGACTTTACATGTTATTGAAGATCCTAAAAGTCTAAATGAAAAAGCAAAAGAACCACTTTGTGTATGTGGGTATGTGACTTGATATTTGCAATGTTAGTTTAGCATCTAAAGTCATATCCCCAAGGAAAGTTATCTAGGAACCGACTCATCCATGGTGTAGGCCACCGATAGCTTTTATTGTTCCTCCTGCCCATTTCAGGGCCACTTTATCCACACCCCAGCACTCATTCTCCTCTTCATCCTGACTCTAAGAAGGAGGGCTCGCCTCTGTTTTGCTACATCCACTCTCCCTGTGTCCTTGATCTGGCCCCATCACTCCTGTGTCCTCTGGATCTTCACATCTCAATGATTCGTCTCTGATCTTCATCCTTCTAAACTCTCTAAACAAAGCTCCCCCTAACATGGAAAACAAGGGTGCCACCCTGTCTCACATTCAGCGTTCCAACTATTTCTTCTCTGACTTCCAGTCCTTTAAATAAATAGATTATGGAACTGTTCAACTGTATTTGAAATTTCTCACTGAAATGTCAGAAGTTCCTGAGAGAAGTGCTAGGAAACCAGTAAGCATCTCAGCAGCACACTCGAACGCCAGCCCTGGCATCAGCTGATGCAGAAACTGAAACTTAGAGTCAGGGAGCTGTTGCCCCCTTTTCCCTGCATTTGTTTCCTATTTTTTCTGTTGAAATGTCCTTTTTTTTTTTCTTTTTGGCATTGCTTGCTAGTGAGAAATCAGTAATTGTACCGTGAGCTCACAATCAAATAGTTCTTTATACTATCATTTGGAAACAAAAAATGAGAGGAAGGACTTGACTACTGATGACAGAATCTGATTAGGACCTGTGCTATCTCTGAATTAAACCGTAAAAGGAGATTTTCTGTATTTCAAGGTGTTTTTTTCCATAAGGATGAATTTTGATGGTAACTAGGGTTTAGCTGCGACAAAGCTGACTCAGAGCTAGAAAATCAGAAAGTTGGCTTTACATTTGAATTGTTTCAGAAGCGGAAGCTGAGATTTACTGGGAGATGCTGCAAGCAGAATTAGGACAGTGGTAAAGAGGGAAGGATGAAAAGCAAGGACCCATAACCAGTAAAGCCACCAAGGGAGCTAAGGATAGGTAGCAGTCTTTGGATGATTGCCCTCACTGAGACACAATTATTTTATCAATGGTAATCGATGTACCTAACTTGATTGTATCCAAAACAAACCACTTACAAATTTTATTTTAAAGCCTTTCTTGGTTTTTTAAATTGAGATAAATTCATATCTCATAAATTGACCACTTAAAAGTATACAATTCAATGATTTTCAGTATATTCAAAGGTTATTATGACCCCCAAAAGAAACCCCATATCCATTAGCCTCACCATTCCTGCCTTCCCCCAACTCCTGGTAACCACTCATCTACTTTCTCTCTGTAAGATTTGCCTAAACTGGACATCTCCTAACAATGAATCATACAATATGTGGTATTTTGTGTCTGATTTCTTTCATTTAGCATGTTTTCATGATTTTATCCATGTTTTAGCATGAAAAGTACTTAATTTCTTTTTATGGATATTTTGCTGTATGGATATACCTCATCTTGTTTTACCATTCATCACTTGATGGATATTTGAATTGTTTCTACTCATGGGCTACATTGAATAATAAACATTTGGTGTGAACATATTTTTTTAATTTTCTTAAGAACATACCGAGGAATGGAATTACTGAATCATAACTCATTCTATGTTTCACATTTAAGGAAGTAGTGAATTGAATACCAGACTCTTAATAAATACATGATTTGCACATATTTTCCTTGATTCTGCAGTTTGTCTTTTTACTTTCTTTTTTTTTTTTTTTCTTTTTTTTTTTTTTTTTAAAGATTTATTTATTTATTTATACATGCACTGGGTACAGTCAGAAGTGCGGGAGGGTGAGAGAATTCACCAGAGTCAGAGCAGAGAGCAGAGCAGGCAGAAGGACCGAAGTACACTGCTGAGGGGAGCAGCGGGTGGCAGGAGAGGTCTGCGCACCATGTGGGACCCTCACCCTGTGGCCGGGGATCGAACCGGTGCTGCAGAGGCTGCGGGCAGCTTCGCAACCCAGCTCTCAACCGCTGCACCACTGTGGAGGCCCTCTTTTTACTTTCTTAATAGTGTGCTTTTATTTCTTGATAGTGTCCTTTGACACACAAAGGATTTTAATTTTGAAGATGTCCAAATTCTCTTTCTTTGCTTATTTGTGCTTTACATGTCATATCTAAGAAACTGTTGCTTAATCCGATGTCACAAACATTTATGTTTTACTCTAAGAGTTTTGTAAGTTCACTCTTTTTTAAGATTTATTTATTTATTTATACAAGAACTGGGGTACAGCCCAGATGTGCGGGAGGATGACAGGATTCATCAGAGACAGAGCAGGGAACAGAAGAGGCAGAAATACACTGATGAAATACACTGCTGAGGGGAGCAGCGGGAGCGAAAGGAGAGGTCTGTTGTGCCATGTGGGACCTTTGCTGGCCGGGATCGAACCGGCACTGCAGAGGCTGCGGACAGCTACACAGTGCAGTGCTCAACCACCTGCACCACCAGGGAAGGAAGGCCCATAAGTTTAACTCTTAAGGTCAGGTCTTTACATTATTCTAAGTTATTTTGTATATGATCAGAGGTAGAGATAGAAATTCATTGTTTTGCATGTGGTTATCATCTAATTCTAGCAGCACTATTTATTGAAAAAACTATTCTTCCCCCATTGAATTGGCATCCTTGTCAAAACTCAACTGATCAGAAACATGGGTTTACTTCTAGACTCTCAATTTGATTCCACTGATCTACACATCTTTATGCTGGTGCTATACAATCTGATTACTGTAGCTTTGTAGTAAGGATAGAAATCAGGAAGCGAGTCCTTCAATTTCTCTTCCTCTCCAGTGACAAACTCCATTTACATGCACCTCTTTAAGCCAAGCTTCTCATGAGGGTTGTCTGCCTCCAGTACACTCTAGATACCACTATACTATGGCTCTGGCCCTTGACATACCAAATTATCAACAACCACCGCCAACATTTTTCTAGTTTGCACCTTTCAAAAGCTTTTAATAAGGTTGACCATTCCCTTGCTGAAACACTGCTTTTTGGTCTCTGCAACATCACTCTTGAATTTCCTCTTGTCTGTTTGCCCCCTTCTTCTCCTTTGTATTTTATGGGGTCTTTCTCCTTATGAACCATTTTATTTTTTTTTAAAGATTTATTTATTTATGCATACAAGAGCTGGGGTGCACACCAGAGGTGTGGGGGGTTGAGAGGATTCACCAGAGACAGAGTGGGGAGCAGAACAGGCAGACTGACCGAAATACACTGCTGAGGGGAGCAACGGGTGAGTCAGGAGAGGTCTGCTGCGCCATGTGGGTAACTCCCTGGCTGGGGATCGAACTCGTGCTGCAGTGGCTGTGAACAGCTTGACAGGTTGTGTCTTAACCCCTAGTGCCACCAGGGAGGCCCAACATAGCCTGAAGTGGCAACAGTTGAAGGAGGAGGCAGGGGTCAGATTCATGAGACAGGAATTTAAAAATGACAGGATTTGCTTAATTGGAGACAGTATTCATGCCATGGCTAAAGAGTGCAGCTTTGTTGCCCATCAGCTTAGGTTTCAAATCAGGCTCTCAGTAGCAATGGGCCTTGGGCAAACTACATCATTCTGATTTGTTTTCTTACGTGTAAAACAGGAATAATTATAGTCTGTATATTATAGGGTTGTTGTAAAGATACATAGAAAGTGCTTAGAACAGTGAGTAGCTAGCATATAGTAAGCCTTCCATAAATGTTAGTTTATTTTTTTGTTGTCACTGTTACAGTAAAATTGAATTTTTTTTTTTTTTTAAAGCTACTTTTTTTTTTTTTTCTTTTTTTTATAGAGGCATGTTTTATTTATTTACTTGTTTGTTCGTTTTTCGTTTATACATGCACTGGGTACAGTCAGAAGTGCGGGAGGGTGAGAGAATTCACCAGAGCCAGAGCGGGGAGCAGAGCAGGCAGAAGGACCGAAGTACACTGCTGAGGGGAGCAGCGGGCGGCAGGAGAGGTCTGCGCACCATGTGGGACCCTCCTCTGGTGGCCGGGGAGCAGCCGGGAATCGAACCAGCGCTGCAGAGGCTGCGGGCAGCTTCGCAACCCAGCGCTCAACCGCTGCGCCACGGGGGAGGCCCTACAGTAAAATTGAATTTAAAAAGAGAAGGAGGGGCCTCCCTGGTGGCACAAGGGGTTAAGCGCTGCACTATGAAGCAATCCACAGCCTCTGCAGTATGAATTCAATCCCCGGCTGGCCAGGGAGCAACCCACATGGCACAGCAGACCTCTCCTGTCTCGCCCGCTGCCCCTCTCAGCAGTGTGTATCAATAGATCTGCCTGTTCTGCTCCCCACTTTGTCTCTGGTGAATCCTCTCACCCCCCGCATCTCTGGCCTGTACCCCAGCTCTTGTATGCATATATAAATAAATCTTTTAAAAAATTAAAAAATAAAAAGAGAAGGAGAGGAAGGAAATAAGGACAGATTTCAGGGTTCTTTTTTAATATTTGGGTGTCAGTTTTTTAAAAATTTTTACATAGAAGAACTGGGGTGTAGGCCAGAGGTGCAAGGGGTGAGAGGATTCACCAGAGACAGAGTGGGGAGTAGAGAGGGGGATCAACTGAAATATACTGCTGAGGGGAGCAGAAGAGGTCTGCTGCACCAAGTGGGTTAGCTCCCAGACCACAGATTGAATTCCCGCCTTAGTGGTGATAGCGCTGAAACTTAACCCCTAGGCCACCAGGAGAACTCCACGTTTCTAATTTGAGTAACCAAATGGTATTTTTCTATAAGATAGGACAAAGGAAAAATTGCAGAATTGAGTGAAAAAGTGACAAAGACTAAGTTTTTACTAAGGCTTAATATTTTTAGGGCAGTTTTAGGTTCACAGAAAAATTAAAGGACAATACAGAGATTTCCCAGATGCCCCTGTCCCTACTCCTGTCCCTACTCCCCATTATCAATACCCCCATCAGTGGCATACTTGTTACAACCGATGAACCTATATTGAGACATATCATTGCCAACTAAAGATCATAGTTTACAAATTCAAGTTTTGATAAGTTGGAACTGCAGGATGTAAAAGTTTGTAGCTCATGAGAGAATTCTGGGATGGAAATACAGATTCATGAGTCATCTGCAGAGAGTAATTCAAATCATGAGCATGGATAATCTTGTCAAGGCAAGTGCATAAGGAGAATTACAGTGACTAATACTGTTCAAATTTCTTCCTCTCTCCTTTTCAATATATTAGTTATCTATTGCTGCATTTGCCATAAAACAACAAATATTATCTCAGTTTCTGCAGTTCATATATCTGAGTAACAGTCTAGCTGATGTCTCCCAAAGCTTCATTCAAATTATCAGCTGGGTTGCAGGCTTTTCAAGCCATAGAATACTACAAAGTCTCTTTATATAAACCCAGCAGTTATTATCTGTGGTTAAACTTTAACTTCCAAAGCTAGATTAGAAAGGGCCATGAATTTCTATCAATCTCATTCTTAGAATGCTCACCTTTAAAACTCAGTTGCCATGCTGTGAGGAAGCTCAGGTCACATGGATAGTCCAGGGACCACTATTCCAGCTGATAGGTCCAGCCTCTAGAGATGGACAGATCAGTAAGGCAGGGAATCTTGGAGTCTATGGATTCCTGATATATATCTTCCACCAGTTCTCCTTGTCTCAATTTCATGTGTTAATCTCAAGGATTGGTCCTAAGAGTGCGTAGAAAGAGCAGAATCTAGTAAGAATAGATTTACAGGAAGCTTAATTCATAATATCATCAAAAGGCAAAATCTTTATGATCTTCTGCCAAATAGTTCTAAAAGGTGGTGACTCATAGTGAAAAACATTGAAGTTGGCATACAAAGGTAAAAACTTTATTTCTAGCTAAGTACTAGTAATATACTGCAGCAAGTCACCTAATTTCCCTGATCTTTGGTTTTCTTTCTTCCTTTTTTGGGGGGGTGGGGTGGGGTGGAGAGGTGGCTTAAACAGCAGATTTATTTTTCACACCCTGATCTTTGGTTTTCTTTCTTCCTTTTTTGGGGGGTGGGGTGGGGTAGAGATGTGGATTAAACAACAGATTTATTTTTCACAGTTCTAGGGACTAGGAAGTCCAAAGAAGATAAAATGCCTTCAATTTGGTTAAAGGTGAGGGCCTTCTTCCTACTGCCTTCTTGCTATGTCCCCATATGGTGGTAAGAGATTGATTTCTCTCTTCTTATAAAGCCATTGATGCCATTAATAGGGCCTTACTCTCATGACCACCTCCCTCCCCAAAGGTCCCTATCTCCAAATAACATCACAGTGGGAGTTAGGGTTTCAATATATGAATTTGAGGGGACTGATCTTCAGTTTTCTTATCTGTAAAGTGAGCATAAAAAAACCACTATTCTTACCTCACAGAATTATTGTAAATATCAAGGGAGACAATGGATGAGAAAGGCATTCTTCTGAAAAGCAAGACACTATTAATGTGAACTTTATTAAGTGCCTACTATTTTTGTTGCTCATAGGAATTCATATAAGAAGCAGAAGGAAGAATCCTGCCTTTAAATTCTCTGCAATGTGCCTGTTTCCTTTGGCCTACATTGGCTTAAATGCCTCCTTTAAACCTGTCATTGCAACAAATGTTTAAAGAATTTCTCATCCCAGCAACAATGCATTTCTTTGGCTGTAAACTTGGATAAAATGTTTCACCATTAGACAATTGCTTTTTGAAAACAACACTATGAAAACTGTCAAGTTGATATGACATTACAGATTTTAGTTCTATCCCTGTATTATTTGGGAAATGCTTTGGCCGTTTTATGTAAAAGACAACACATGTAATGTCCTATGGGAACCCCCAAACTCAACAGTTCCCTTGTTATATTGGTTAGCTGCTCCAGGCCTCTTTCTCCTCCTGAATTCTTCATCTTGGAGAAATGAGCCATCATCCACTGGCTCGATCAATTCAACTGGAAATACAGTAATAATCCTGGATTTCTCTCTCACCTACCACAATCATCACCTGCACCACCATTTCCCCCAAGTCTATCTCCAGATCGTGATGATGTTACCTGTGGAATGCCCGTGGCATTTGTCCACATCCTCACTGCCACTCCCTCACTTATACTCTAGCAACAACTTCCTAATACTGTCCCTGCCTCCAGTCTTCTATCAGTAAACCAACCACAATTTAAAAACTGAATACTCCTCTATTCGGAAGATAAAAATAAAACTACTCTACATGGCTGGTTCTCCAACCTCAACACTTCTACAACTAGCTATTGACCATACTGATTTTACAGGCAAGAGAAGACAGACCAGTTTACTTGAATTTCACCAGGGTATTCTCAGGGCTAACCTCATGCGTGCTCTTGAGTTCGATGCTTCAGGCCTTTCATTTGTAAAATTAGATCGATACGAATATAGAACAATAGAATAGATTAATAAGTCATACTTGGTATAAAGACTAAATAAATAATATGGGTAATGTGTCAAAAACAGTGCTTGGCACGTAGCACTTATTTACCTTTAATTATTATAATGACTATTTCAGGTTTATACTGCTCTTACTACTTCACTCTTCAGTGACTAACGAAGTACAACAAGAGTTCCTGATCCTATGGACTAATTCTTTACTATCCAGTGCTCCAAATTATTACTGACACAGCCAGCTCTTCACCAGGAGTTTACCTCTTTGGGGTCGTTTGCCTGCCCGAAACCTGGGGGTATGTGGCTCGTAGGCCAGAGGTCGTGCAGCCTTAGACCGAGGCCGGGGCTGGCTGACCAGCAGGGTGCACAGGCCGGAGGCGGCGCGCACAGGTGCCCCGCCCGACGTCAGGCCTCTGGACGCACCTGGGCGGCTTCCTGCGCTCCCAGGCGAGGGGCTCCATGCCTCGGCCCTCTGTTTTCCTCTTTTGTAGCAAAGAGAATATATTATTTCCCGTCCTTTTTCTCTCCCACGGTTGATGTGACTACGGGAAAATCGTACGTTGGGGAGGACGCTTCTTTATTCCACGCTTGGAGCCTTAGAAATGCTCAGGGAGTGGGGAAGGGGTGTCACGTGACGAAGCCGGCCGGGCTAGCCGGGCCTCCGCGCGCTCGGCCTAGAGCGTCTCATCTCTATGGTGGGAGCGCCCAAGTTCCGGTGCGGCCTAGGTTGCTCTTCCGGGGTAACTACAACCACTTCCGGGGCGGGGGCAGGCGAGGCAGGTTTGTCGGGCTGTAGGTGCCTGCCGGCCGCGAGTTTCCAGGCTGCCGGCCGCGATGAGCTTCCTCAAAAGTTTCCCGCCTCCCGGGTCAGCGGAGGGACTCCGGCAGCAGCAGCCGGACACCGAGGCCGTGCTGAACGGGAAGGGCCTCGGCACCGGCACCCTCTACGTCGCCGAAAGGTAGGCGTCCTGTTCGTCAGCGCTGGCCTCCTGCGCGTCGCCTTCCTCCCGCGGGGGGCGCGGGGGCGCGGCGGGGGCCCGGTGGGGGGCGCCCCGCTGGGGGACGCGCGGTTGTTCCAGCGTTCTCGTTTCCGGAGACTTCCTTTCTCTTCGCAGACCGAGTTCTAGTGATTCTGCCTTTCACTTTCGTGTGCCAGAGAGCTGGTCCATGATTGCTGCTGGACTCGAGAGCTCACGGCTTTGCGTTGTCAGGTCCTGAGTCGGGGTCATGGACACGCCCGTCTTGTCCGGTGACAGGGGCGGGAGCTGACGCCCGGGCAGGATGTGGCGGTTCACAGCTGGCGATGAGGGTCTTGAAAGTTTGGTTAAGGATTATTGGTTCTCATCCGTAGGTGTGGTTGGAGAGAGGAGCACCCTCAACCCACGCATGCTGGTGTTATTTCCAGATGGACCTGGCTCACATTTCTCATTTCTGACAGCCGTTTCTCATCGTAGCAATAAAATAGGATTTAGCCTATTTTATTTAGCCTTACGGAGCACTTTTCCCAGTCAAATATAACGTCTTAAATATTGCAATTGTAGAACTGAAGACCACGTTACTTTGACACGTGGTCCCATTCATCAAGCCACCAATAACACGTTGAATCCTTCCTGTCTTTCAGATTTCTTTGACCTCCCCTTCTGCTGCATCGCCTTGGTCTACAGCCAGAAAAAATTCTTTGCTTTTAAGAGCTTATGTGATCACACTGGACCCATACATAAGCCAGGATGGTCTCCCTATCTTACTGTCAGCTGATTTGAATTACACACACAAAGTCCCTTTTTCTATGTAACATGACATATTCATAGACCTGACACTAGGAGATGAAGGGGTGGGGGAGGAGAGTTCTGCCTACCACAGAGTGCCGGACACCAAAAAAAAAAAAAGTAAAGAATGTTTCGCTTAGGGGGGAGCTAAACATTGAAAAACTTAGGCATTTGGTCACCTAAACATTGAAAAGCTTATGCTTTTGGTCAGAACCGGAAATGAGAAATATGTGGATGGGAGGGAGAGCAAGTTTGGAGGAAGGTGCAGGTAATAAGTTGGGGTTTTATATGTGGATAAGTTGGATATCTGTGTGTATATTGGGTACTAAAGATAAAGATTTGGAAATCATTAGTATAAGCGATAGTCTGTACTCGGGAATAGATTGGATACCCCGGAAGAGAAAGAGGGCCAAGAGTAGACCCTTGGAGACAATTAAAGAGGTGTGTTATGAAAGAAAGGACTTGAGAAAAGAGAAGGGAGGAGCAATCAAATATAATAAATTAATCAAACCTAAAAAGTATATATTGGTGATCTTGGTAGAACAGTTTATTTTAACTGATGAAGAGTGGAGCACAGAACCCCTTTTCCATGGTTTCTCTGTATAACATCTCCTTTTTGGGGAAGGTCTTTATTTTTTCATTTTGAGAAATTGTGAATCCAGAGAAAGTTGCAAGTGTTGTTAAATACCTATAGCCTCTTCACAAAGATTCCTAATTGCTAACATTTTGCTGCCTTAATATAGTTCTCTTTTTTCTAAGCTATTTTACAGTTGTGAGACATGTTATCACTTCATCTGTAAATACTTTAGTACTTCTAAACAGGCATTTTTATAATTACAATACAAATACTCAAGAAGTACAAACTTCTTTTAAATTGTAATCTGGGGGCCTCCCTAGTGGCCCAGGGGCTAAAGACAGCGCTGTGAAATTCTCACCAGCCACTGCAGCATGAGTTCAATCTCCCGCCGGCCAGGGAGCCAACTCACATGGCTCAGCAGTTCTCTCTTGTCTCCCCGCTGCTCCCCTCAGCAGTGTATTTCAGTTGATCGGCCTGTTCTGCTCCCCACTCTCTCTGGTGAGTCCTTTCACCCCCGTGCCTCTGGCCTACGCCCCAATATAAATAAATAAATCGTAAAAAAAAAACCCACCTAAAAAGCTTTAAAAAAATAAATTATCTGTGTAAAGTTATTTCATCTTTTCACTAACACATCTCTTACCTTCTATAAGAAAACATTTTTTGTAAAATATACAAAAAAAGAATGTATGGCTAAAAGAACTATAACTAGCACCTCTATCCACCATCCAGCTTAAAAGTAGAATATTAACAGTACTTTATTCTTTTTTTTAAAGATTTTTTTATTTATGCATACAAGAACTGGGTGTAGGCCAGACATGCAGAGGGTGAGAGTATTCACCAAAGACAGAGTTGGGAGCAGAACAGGCAGATTTAGTGAAATACACTGCTGAGGGGAGCAGTGGGCGCGGCAGGAGAGGTCTGCTGTGCCATGTGGGTTAGCTCCCTGGCCATGGATTGAACTTGTGCTGCAGTGGCTGCGGATCTCTTGATAGTGCTCTCTTTAATCCCTTCGCCACCAGGGAGACCCTGTTAACAGTACTTTGGTGCCTCTGTTCATCTCTTTATTCACTGGTAATTTGACTTCATTGGTCTATTTGCCCTTTTTGTTAATTTCTATCTAGCATTTCCAAGTCTTGGGAGAATCAAGGTCTCAACAAACTGGAAAGACTTCCTAGAAGATGTAATAAATGCGGATTAGCAGTTAGCCAGGTGAATGAAATGGGGTAAAGGGGAAGCATTCCAATTAGAAGAAAAAAGAGGCTGCTAGGCAAGGGTGAGAAACAGTACTATGCCAGCGTGTGTGTGTGTGTGTGTAACACACATGTACATGTGTGTGTATATATATGTATGTATATGTATATGTATGTATATATGTAAAACACAGTGTAGTAGTTCTTAATCTGAGTGGATGAAAGAGAAGGAGAGAGCCACATTCATGAACTTGGCTTATAGGGGAAACTGGCCTTGGGGAAACTTTTAGGATTTTAGTCAGAGGGACAGAGTTCAATTTGATATGGGGTAGTTTCTACTGAGAGATCTAGAACTCGCATACCTATTTTCAGAGGCTGGTTATCATTGGAAGTTGACTTTTCATATAAGGAAGGAAATAGACATGAATCATTAAAATATATCAGTTGCTAGAAGTAAAATAAAATAGGTAATTTAAATTTATATAAGTAATGCTTTCTTGTATCTTATTCCAAAATTAATTTTAAGCCAAATAATTAAACCAACCCAAATTCACAACTCCTCTTACCTTCCTATCATCCTGCCAGTGCCTTCATTCCAATCCAGGAATAAAAGACACATTTCTCTGCGTGCTTACTCGATTTGTAATTCTTGTTTTTCCCTCTTGGAACTTGGTTTCTTTGGCACTAGTAATAGTTAATTAGGTTTTTTGGTTTTGCTTACTCAATTTGTAATTCTTGTTTTTCCCTCTTGTAACTTGCTTTCTTTGGCACTAGTAATAGTTAATTAGGTTTTTTGGTTTTCTAAACATATAAAAAAAGAATAAATAAAAATCAGAACTTGATCATAGTAAATGTTACCATTCAGTGTAACTTGCCTTCTGTTTTGTAGAATAATAATGCATTTCCATGTATAAAAGCTCTCCATAGGAAATGCAGCATTTGTACTCTGCCAGCAGTAAGGAACTACACAGCAATTATTATGTACTTTTAAAAGTGAAGGCCATAATTTAATGGGCACTGAGTCTATGTTTATATTTCAGTTTTTCCATCTCTTAATTGAAACATTAAAGAGCATTTTGTGGCTTTGGATATTTGAAATATGTGGGATACCCAAATTTGGAATGCTCCTTTTTGAATTGTTATGATGCCAGGGGCTTTTTGAGGTGAGAAAAAGGATTTTATTTGCTTAAAATAATAAAATTTTAATAAGGGATTGATGATACTTCTGTGACGAGTACTATTTCATCTTCATATTGAGGGGAAAGCAGTTGGCAGGAATGGCACATAGAGTACACATAATCTAGTTTATAGTAAAAATCTGGTCCTTTGGAACCAATGGGATGAGTCATTCCAGAAAATCATTTCTGATCTTCTACCACTTTAAGACTCCCAGAATTTTTCTTTTTTCCTTCTTTAAAGATTTGTTTATGCATACAAGAATGGGGGTACAGGCCAGAGTGCGGGGGGTGGGTGGGATGAGAGGATTCACTAGAGACAGAGTGGGGAATAGAACAGGCAGACTGACTGAAACACACTGCTGAGGGGAGCAGCGGGCGAGTCAGGAGAGGTCTGCTGGGCCTTGTGGCTTGTTCCCTGGCTGAGGATCGAACTCGTGCTGCAGAGTCTGTGGTTAGCTTCATAGGTTGCGTCTTAACCCTTGCGCCACCAGGGAAGCCCAGAATTTTTCTTTTTTAAGTACCATTTTGAATGGAAAACTTTCCAAATGCCAGTGCATATTTTCTTGCTTTGCTTTTTTAAAAGTGTACAATTCATTATTTTTTTTTAGTATGTTTACAGACTTGTATAATTTTCACCGCAATCCAATTCTGCCTTTGCTTTTGATAAGTAAGGGGCAGGTGTTACACATTTGTATTGTGCTGTTAGACTTGATTTCCTTCTGGCTAACTGAGGTGTAAAGTTTAACCTCTCCTTACTTTGAGTATGAGTGATCTCAGATTGTTACACTGTTTTTGTTCCTGTACAAGGGAGACATAGGTTCTATTGTTTTTGGTTTTGCTTGGTTAGAATTTAGTCAGACTGGCTTGTTAAAATTGTTTAGAAAATAGAATGATACAGGGGTCATGTTGCAATAGTTTTAATAAGCACTATTGAGATAATTCACAGGCATACAGTTGCCTATTTGAATTGTTCAGTTACATGGTTTTTTAGTCTTATAGAATTGTGCAGCCATCACCACAATTTTAGAATATATTCATCAGCTCCCCCTCCCAAAGAAACCTGTCACCATTAGCATTTACACTTTTCCTCTGGCCCTAAGCAACCACTATATATTACATTAACTTTATTGCATTAACATCTCTTTGTGACTTCTTAAGGGTCTTTTGCTACTTTTTTCCCCTGCTGCTTTTTTTTTTTTTTCAGTTCTAGGTGGGTGAACTATAAAAAAAATTAACCACCCCTACTTAAAACTCAACTTGCTGATCTGATGATATATTTTCTTTGTTAAAGCAATAAAATATTTGGATTTGACAACTGAGAGAATACTAGACATTGCTTATCTGTGACTTTCTCTTAAAGCTGCAGAATAAATGAAACGCTTCATAGAGGGTATCTTTTGATGTGATGATTATTTTCCAACTTAAGAGTATGATTTTATGTGTATACCATTTAACATAGAATTAGTGGGAAAATTTGTTTACTTCCCAAGTGCTTGTCGCATACTTAGATGCTGAATACTATACTATGGTTTTGAAGAAGGAACATGACAGATTCTTTTATCAGGAACCTTATATCTTGTCAGGGTACATAGATTCATTATCATAGACCTAAGTGCTAAATGGAGCATAAAAAGAAAAGATCATTATGTAGTGGACTAATTGGAGAGAGGACTCAGAGAAAAACTAGAACTTAACCAGATGAAGAGGTTTGGCAAAAGTAAAGCTAAGCATCTTTATCTGGGGACATTCCAAATAAGAGCAAGCATACAATAGGCATAGATAATCACACACATGACTTAAGAAAAATTGTGTTTCAGATTTATTTGCATTTTTGGCTAGGGGAAAAAACACTATAACAGAATTGGTTAAATTCAATTCCTGCTGCTGAGTTTTCTTATTTTAGGGGTATTCTAAACAGTAAACTCAAATTTATTCTCTGTATAAGCATGTCCATGATGAACTTTTATAAACATCATGGTATTTAATTAAGATTTAATTTCTTAATCTACTTAAAACATGTTTTTCAGCCGCCTGTCTTGGTTAGATGGCTCTGGATTAGGATTCTCACTGGAATATCCCACCATTAGTTTGCATGCTGTGTCCAGAGACCTAAATGCCTATCCACGAGAACACTTGTATGTTATGGTAAATGCCAAATTTGGAGGTATGTATGGGGTATTTTAATCTTGAGCTTCCTTTGGTAGTGTATTTTAAAAAGTAGTCTTTGGTAATAATTGATGTAATGTTCAAGCCATTGACCTACTTTGGGTAATAGTTTATTAAGCAAGATTTCGACAGAGTAAAAAATTGGAATACTGCCTTTTTCTATATATTTGTACTTTGTTACTGTGGATTTATATTTCTAACCTCTCCTTTTTTAATTTTAATTTATTGACTTGATTTTTCTATTTATTTAGTTGAGGTGACATTGGTTTACAACATTGTATGTAATTCGGAGGCGTAAATAGCATCACATCTCACTCATATGCACGTCACCATACCACATCTACCAGCAGGGCACCCACAGTCTTCCGCCATGTTCTCTTATGCCCTTTCCCCATTTTGTTCTCCCCACATCCCCTTCCCATTTTGTAGCCTCGATTCTATAATCAGATTTCTAGGGTTTGTTATTGGTTTGGTTTTGTCTGACTCGTTTTATTTCTCTGTATTCCATATGAAAGTGAAACCATCTAGTATTTGTCTTTCTCCTCTGACTTATTTCATGTATTGTTATTCCCTGCAGTCCCATTCATGTTTCAATTTTTTTTTTAATAGCTAAGTGGTATTCCATTGTGTATATATGCCACATCTTCATTTACTCATTGTCCTTTGACTACTTAGGTTGTTTCCAAACTTGGCTGTTGTAACTAGTGCTGTGCTGCAGTGAACATAGAAGTGCATATATCCCTTCAAATTGTGTTTTCACATTTTTTGGATAGATACTTAGGAGTGGAATTGCTAGATCATATGGTAGATGTACTTTTAATATTTTGAGAACCCACCATACTGATTTCCATAGGGGCTGGACCCAGTCTACATTCTCCACATCCTCTCCAACACCTGTTTCTGTCTTTTTTTAAAAGATTTATTTTTTTATGCATATAAGAACTGGGGTACAGGCCAGAGGTGTGGGGGGGGGGGTTAGAGAATTCCCCAGAAACAGAATGGGGAACAGAACAGGCAGCTCTACTGAAATACACTGCTGAGAGGAGCAGCGGGCGAGGCAGTAGAGGTCTGCTGCACCATGTGGCCATGTGGGTAGCTCCTTGGCCTGGCTTCGAATGCGTGCTGCAGTGGCTGCTTATAGCTTCATAGGTTGCATTTTTTTATATATATATATAGAGGCATGTTTTATTTATTTGTTTGTTTGTTTGTTTGTTTGTTTATACATGCACTGGGTACAGTCAGAAGCGCAGGAGGGTGAGAGAATTCACCAGAGTCAGAGCAGGGAGCAGAACAGGCAGAAGGACCGAAGTACACTGCTGAGGGGAGCAGCGGGCGGCAGGAGGGGTCTGTGCACCATGTGGGACCCTCCTCCAGTGGCCGGGGAGCAGCCAGGGATCGAACCGGCGCCGCAGAGGCCGCAGGCAGCTTCGCAACCCAGCGTTCAACCGCTGCGCCACTGGGGAGGCCCCATAGGTTGCATTTTTAACACCTTGCACCACCAGGGAGGCCTAATGTTTCTGGTCCTTTTGATATTGAGCTATTCTCAATGAAATGGTATTTCATTGTGGTTTTGATTTGCATTTCCATTGCAATAAGTGATTATGAGCACTTTTTTTCATGAGCCCGTTGGCCATCTAAATCTTTTTTGAAGAAGTATCTATTTAGCTCTTCTGCTAAATAGGCTTTTGATTGGGTTGTTGTCTTTTTGTTGAGTTATATGAGTTCTTGAATATCAGCCCCTTGAATACGAAATGGTACTTCTAATTTTTTGGGGGGTAATTTTTATTGGGGTAATACTAGTTTACACTGTATAGATTTCAGATGTACATATTCTCACCTTAGTAACTGTGTATCACATAGCTATTGTTTCTAATAGTTCCATTCAGTGGGCAGAAACTTTTTAGTTTGATGCAGTCTCAGTTGTTTATTTTCACTTTTGTTTCCCTTGCTATTGGAGTTTCCAAAGACATCTCTGAAGCCAATATTGTGGAGTGTTTCGCCTATGATTTCTTCTATGTGTTTTATGGTCTCCATCTTACAGCCAAGTCTTTAATCCATTTTGAGTTTATTTTTATGTGTGGTATGAGATAAAGGTCTAGTTCATTCGATTGCATGTTGCTCTCTACTTTTCCCAGCATCATTTATTGAAGACTTTTCTATACTTGTGGCTCCTTTGTTATATATTAACTGTCAAAAAAAAAATGTGGGTTTATTTCTGGGCTCTCGGTTTTATTTCCCCACCATAGTGTTTTGAAACTAACTTTCTGGTAATGTGATACACTGTTCTTTTTTGGTTGGGATTGTTTTGGCTCTCTGGGGTCTTCTGTGGTTCTATATACATTTCAGTAATGTTTGTTCTGTTTCTTTGAAGAATACTACTGACATTTTCATAGGGACTGCAGTGGATTTGTATATTGCTTTGGGTAAGATAGCCATTTCACAATGTCTTAGAGTTTTCATTGTACAAGTCTTTCACCCCCTTTGTTAGATTTTTTCTAGGTACTTAATTCTTGATGTGATAAGAAATAGGACTTTCTAAAATTTTCTTTTTCTTCTAGTTCACTTTTTGCATGTAGGAATGCAACCAATTTTTGTGTTTTGATTTGGTAGCCTACTACTTTTCTGATCTATTGTTTCTAATTGATTTTTAGTGGAATCTTTAGGATTTTCTGTGTATATTAAGTCATCTGCAACTAGTGATAGTTTTACTTCTTTCTCAATTTGGATTTCTTTTATATCTTTCTCTTACCTAATTGTTCTCTCTAGGACTTAGAATACTGTATTTAATAGTAGTGGGGAAAGTAGACATCTTTGTTTTGTACCTGATCTTAGAGGCAAAGCTTTCAGTTTTTCATTATTGATTATGGTGTTAGCTGTGACTTCGTTATATATGGCTTTTATTATGTTGAGGTATGTTCCTCTTATTCCCATTTTTGGGGAGGTTTTCTTTTTGTCATAAATGGATGTTGAGTCTTGTCAATTTTTTTTTACTTAATCATGATTTTTAGCTTTCCTTTTGTTGATGTTTGTTATTTAACAATTGTTAGACGTTGAACCATCCAGTATCTCTGCAATAAATTCTACCTGTTGTTGAATTTGGTTTGCTAAGATTTTATTGAGGACTTTTTTTTTTAAAGATTTATTTATTTATGCATACAAGAGCTGGGGTACAGGCCAGAGGTGTGGGGGGTGAGAGAATTCACCCGAGTGGGGAACAGAATAGGCAGATCGACTGAAATACACTGCTGAGGGGAGCAGTGGGCGAGTCAGGAGAGGTCTGCTATTCCATGTGGGTAGCTCCCTGGCCGGCTGGAAGATCAAACTCGTGCTGCAGTGTCTGTGGATAGCATCATAGGTTACGTCTTAATCCCTTGCGCCACCAGGGAGGCCCTTTATTGAGGACTTTTGCATCTTATGTTCATCAGGGATATAGGTCTGTATTTTCTTTTTTGTTGTGTCTGTCTGCTTTTGATGTCATGGTAATATATGTTTCATAAAATATGTTTTGAAAGTATTCCCTCTTCCTGAATTTTTGGGAAGAATTTGAGGATAGGTTTTAGTTTGTTGTTGGAGATTTGGTAATGCTCATTAGTAGTAGTGAAACCCCTGGTCCTGGGCTTTGTTTCTTGGGAGATTTTTGATTACTGTTTCAATTTCCTTTCTTATAATTAGTTTATTCAGGTTCTCTATTTCTTTTTGATTCAGTCAGGGAAGATTGTATGCTTCTAAGAATTTCTCTATTTTTTCCAGGTTATACAATTTATTGGCATAAAGACATTCATAGTAGTTTCTTATGATCCTCTGTATTTCTGCAATGTGACTTCTCTTTCATATCTGATTATATTTATTGGTATTTTCTCCCTTTTTTTTTCTTTGTGATCCTAGTTAGTTTTATATGTGTTTCAAACAACCAATTTTGAGATCCATTGATCTTTTGGGCTTTCTATTGTATTTATTGCTACACAAATTTTTATTATTTCTCCTACTGATTATGGTATTTTGTTCTTCTTTTTCTAGTTCCTTAGGTGCAAAGTTAGATCATTTATTTAAGTTCTTTATTGTTTTTGATGTGGGCCTATATTGCTATATTCACCCATGTAATACTGCTTTTCCTGAATCTCATTGGTTCTTTAGATTGTGTATGCATTTTCACTCATTCTCAGTTATCTTTCAATTTCTCCTTGGTTTTCCTCATTAACCTCCTAGTCATTCAGTAGTATATTGCTCAATCTAATTTGATACCATTGTGATCAGAGAAGATACTTGATATGATTTTAGTCTTCATGAATTTATTGACACTTATTTTGTGGTCCAACATGTAGTCTATCCTTGAGAATGTTTCATTTGCATTTCAGAAGAATGTTTACTCAGCTTTTGTGTGACTTGGTGCCCTGTAAGTGTCTATCAAACCCATTTGATCTAATTCCTCACTTTTGGGTATTGTTTCCTTGTTGATTTTCTCTTTAGTTCTTCTGTCCATTCTTTAAGTGGTGTGTTGAAGTTTCCAAGTTGACCTTGTGTTACTGCCAATGTCTGTTTTTAGATTTGTTAATAGTTCTCTTACATATTTTGATGTCCAAATCTGTCATTTGATGTCTTTTTAAACTGGAAGTCTATTTTATCTGATACTAGTATTAATATCATTTAATGACCCCTGCATTTTTGGGGGTCCCATTTGCTTGTAGGATTGTTTTCCAACCATTTACTCTGAGCCCACGTTTATCTTTGAACCTCAGGTCTCCTAGAAGCAGCAGAAAGTTGGGTTTTAGTTTTCAGACCAGCCAGCTGCTCTGTGCCTTTTGATTGGTGGGTTCATCCCATTTACATTTAGAGTGATTATTGATATAGGATGTTTTGCTATAGCCATTTTGTCCTTAGTTTTCTTTTTTTCTTTTTTCAGTTTTTTTGCTGAATTTTCTATTCTTCAGTTTAGATAGGAGAGCTACTTTCAGGATTTCTTGTAGGGGAGGTATATGATTGCAGACTCCTTCAGCTTCTTTTTGTCTGGAAAGGCCTTTATTTCCTCCTCATAGGAAAGAGAGCCCTACAGGATGTAATATTCTTGTCTGATATTGTTTGTCTTTGAGTATCATGGCTGTCATTCCATTCTTTTCCTGCTTGTGGGATTTTTGCTTAGAAGTTCAGTGACAGCCTGATAGTAATATTTTTTTCTAACCAACTTCAGTATTCTTTTTTTGTCTTGAACTCTTGGTAGTATCACTATTATGTGTCTTGGTATATAAGTCTTACTGCATTTGGATAACCAGGTGTTCTTTTAGCTTCATAGACTTGTACACTTAGTTCCTTTCGTTAGTTTGGTAAGTTTTCTGCCATGTTTTCTTTGAATAACTTTCCCTCTGTTTCTCTTTCCTTTCTGGGGAGTTGCCAAAATGTTTCTACATTTTTTTTTAACTTCATATTTCTCTTTCTTCCTTCTAGGTCCTTTGTGCATTAATACCTGTGTGTGTGTGTGTGTGTGTGTGTGTGTGTGTGTGTGTGTAAGAAAATTGAGGTATAGTCCAGAGGTGGGGGCATGGTGATGGTGAGAGGATTCACCAGAGACAGTGTGGAGTTGAACATGAGGATTTACTGAAATACACTGCTAGGGGGAACAGTGGGTAGAATAGGAGAGGTCTGCTGAGCTATGTATGCATTAGCTCCCTGACCTGGGATTGAACTCAGGCCTTAGCAGTGATAGCACTGAGACTTAACCCTTAGTCCACCAGGGAGGCCCCATTAATATCTTGATGGTCACAGATTCTTCCACCACTTTCTCTGAGATTTTGTTTCTCATCTGTTAAACTTTTTACACCTTGACCTTGTTATTTTTTTTATTTAAAACTTGAAAGTTTATTTTCTGCTTACTAATTAATGTCCCCAAATTCATTTTTCTGAATTTTTGGATGTGTCAAACTAATCTTTGATTATCTGAGTTCTTTTGTATCACTTTGATTTCCTTTTCTGTCTTCCATCTCTTTGATTTTCTTCATTATGGCAATATTATTTATTTATTTATTTAAAGAATTGAGTGCAGCAGAGATTGGTAGAACACATTTATTTGTTTGTTTGTTTATTTGTTTATTTATTTATTTATTTTTATGCACGAACTGAGGTACAGGCCAGATGTGCAGGAGGGTGAGAGGATTCACCAGAGACAGAGCGGGGAACAGGCAGACTGACGAAATACACTGCTGAGGGGAGCAGGGAGTGAGACAGGAGAGGTCTGCTTTGACATGTGGGATTCGCGCTGGCCCGCAGGGATTTAACCCGCGCTACAGAGGCTACGGACAGCCTCACAGTGCAGGCGCCACTAGGGAGGCCCTATTATGGCAATTTTAAACTATCCATCTGATAGGGATGTAAAGTCTTCCATGTCCTTGTGAATGGATTCTTGAAAGTTGTCTCTCCTTGCGATGTTATATTCCCTTGAAACCTCAAGGTGCCATGCATTACTTTTTTGTCTGCCTATTTTGCTGCTGTTTAGATTTCCCTAAACCTAAGTGGTGACTTAAGAAGTTGACCTGGGCCTCCCCGGTGGCACAGCAGTTGAGCGCTGGATTGCGAAGCTGCCCGCAGCCTCTGCAGCGCCATTTCGATCCCCGGCCTCCGGGCAAGGGTCCCACATGGCGCGCAGACCTCTCCTGCTGCCTGCTGCTCCCCTCAGCAGTGTACTTCGTCAGTCTGCCTGTTCTGTTCCCCGCTCTGGCGAATTCTCTCACCCTCCTGCGCTTCTGACTGTACCCAGTGCTTGTATAAACAAACAAACAAATAAATAAATCCTAAAAAAAAAAAAAAATGAAGTTGACCTACTTTTACTTGTCCATTAGGTGGTACTGTGGGTTTTTTTAGATTTTAGGTTTTTTTGTTTGTGTGAGCTTCAGTAGATTTGGAGACCTGATTTTGTAGTTCCTGAGTGTAGGGGAGAGGCATGGAGGATTTAGACACTAGTGCAACTGTACCGTGCATGTGTGTTTGGGCAGGATGGCTTTTATTTTTGGCACCGCCAACATCCCTACTCTCTGGGATTCCAGACCTGAGACTGCATTTTGTGCACTGTCAGTGTACTTTGTGAGGTCATGCCAGTACTGCTGAGAGGAGCAGTGGGCGAGATAGGAGAGGTCTGCTTCGCCATGTGGGATTCTCGCCGGCCGGCGGGGATTAAACCTGCACTGCGGAGGCTGCGGACAGCTTCACAGTGTGGCGCTCAACTGCCTGTGCCACCAGGGAGGCCCAATTATCTAGACTTTTAAAGAGAGAAAACTATATCTATATTATTCAAATCTTTTTTGTACCCTCCCCATTTCATTGCCCTATGTTTTTCTCCAGAGTTAAACATCATCCTAAAGATGGTGTGTATCCTTCCTATCTATCTATCCTTTTAGATTAGTGAAAATATATATACCATAATCAGTACAATTGTTTTGTTTTGTTTGTAAGTGGTTTTATGTATCTAAAAAAAGCAATTGACTTTTTCATTAAATTATGCTTTTAAATCTATATTTGATGCATATAAATCATGCTTGTTAATGTTTAGCAGCTATGTATTTATAAAATACAGCTATGTATTTATAAAATACCAGACTACAGGTTACTTCTTTTTCCTTTTTTTTTTTCCTTCTATTTTCACTAGTATATCTGGTACTTTAATGTGTAGACTCCTTGTGTACAGAATATGTACTTAGGTGAGGAATGCTGGGGAGTAGGATATATGCATCTCCATAGTGGTTGTAGCAATTTCCACTTCCACCAACAGCCTAGTTCTCTTTATAAATACTGTATGTTTTTCCTTTTCCACAAACTTGGTTAATTTATTTGTTGGAACAGTTAGTTTTTATGGCCTTAGTTTTCTCATTTGTTGTTTCTCGTGTATCACAGCAGTTGTTTGCAAACTGCTGCTGAATCCTCTGTTTCAAGGTGAAAGATAAAAGAAGCAGATGCCAGTTGAATTATATTTGTTGGACCCTGACTGTATTTTCTTACCCTCACCATAACCTTGTGGGGCTTGAAATTCTTGGGACTCTGAGTGAATAGACCAGAGGGGGACTATCTTTTTTAGTTCTAAAAAAAAAAGTGTCTTTTTTAGCTCTAAAATAACCATGTTTGTACAGTTAAAGTAAAAATTGAACTGCAGTATTTACATATATCAGTAAACACCCTTTAGGAAATTCTTTCAAACTTAAAAAAAAAATAAATTGCATCATTAAAAAATTATTTGTTACTTTTCTAGAAGAATCAAAAGAATCTGTTGTAGATGAAGAAGAGGAAGACAGCGATGATGATGATGATGATGTTGAACCTATTGCTGAATTTAGATTTGTGCCTAGTGATAAGTCAGCATGTGAGTGTCCTGGAATTCATTCATTCTTTATTATGCACCAAACATTCCCCCATTGACACACATATGCTTACCTTTACCCTCATTACTTCCATTCTATTGCTTTTTCTTCACTTTAGCATCTGTAATATTATTGAACACCAGATATCTATGAATATCAGAGATTGTTTATATAGTGAGAGTATGGTAGACATGTTACTTGGTATGTTTTATAAATGGAGGAATCTGGCTATTCTTACTGATTTGATGTGATTGACTCTATTAATGAATAGAATCAAAAGGAGACAAAGCATTTTCAAAGTAGAAGATGTTAGGATCGCTGGAAAGAGCCCTATCAGCTGAGAAGGCCCTCTCCCTAATAATAGCAGTCTAACCAGAACTCTTACATTTTTTCTCAGAAAATCCAGCAAGGCATGAAGAGGTCTTAAAAATATTTTTAAATGACCATTTATTTATTTATTTTAAGATTTATTTTTATTTATGCATACAAGAAGTGGGGTATAGGCCGTTGGTATGGGGGGTGAGAGGATTCACCAGAGACAGAGTTGGGAGCAGAACAGGCGGATTTACTGAAATACACTGATAAAGGGAGCTTTGGGTGAGACAGGAGAGGTCTGCTGTGCCATATGTGGGTTAGCTCCCTGGCTGGGGATTGAATTCATGCTTTTGTGGATAGCGATAGCTTGATAGCATTGAGACTTTACACCCAGCCCCACCAGAGATTCCCTGTGTTATTTTTGTGACGTGCCCATTGCCATCCAGTAATTTTGCGGTTGATCCTAACTGGAATTTGGCAGGTTTTGTAAATATTGTCTACCCATTAAATTTATTTGCACTGATAATTATTTTATTAAATTTTTATTGTGCATTGACCAGAAAAAAATACTAGTTACAGTTTAATTTCTTTGTTCAGTGGAGGCACTGTTTACTGCAATGTGTGAATGCCAAGCTTTGCATCCAGATCCGGAGGACGAAGATTCAGATGATTATGATGGAGAAGAATATGATGTGGAAGCACATGGTTAGTGAAATGGATTTTAAACTTTGTGTGTGTGTGTTCATTTCATTTACTCGAAGTAAGGGCTCGGATTATAGCTCTTTATGTCTCTATAGAGTACCTCTATGGTATGGTTATTAATAAAAGTAAATGGCACAATTCATATCTAAGCCAAAATTATGGACTTTTCAAGCTTCAGATTAAAATTAGAAATTATTAGGGGCAGAAAATGGATAGAGATAAAAAGAAGGAAAGAAAGTGTTACACAGGCAAGTAGGTAATCAGGTGATTCTTTTACGTGAAAGCAGCTGCCTCTAGAGAATGAGCCTCTACCTCCACCACTTGACATGCATCATCCACATCATTATTTAACATATTTCTTCAAGTAAATCACTACCAAAGTCATTTCTTTTTCACAGGGCCATACTTCCTTTATCTAAGAGTATTTTCCCCTTGCCTCCCCAACACAGAATGCAGTCATGAACCTGGTGGAATTGTATAGCTTGAGGTGCATGTCTGTTGTCTTTTTTTCCCTCACTAATCTCCTGTATACCAGTCTGGCTATTCAGTGCCCTTTCTTCCATGTGTCCTCACTTCCTGGCCTGAGATTCTCTTTATATATCTAAATGTGTCATCTAAATTCTCATCTTTGCGGAGATTTTGGAATGGTTTTCATTTTATCCTGTTTGTATATTCCAGAATTTGATTTTTAAAAAGGAGCATGTGTTTTAATCAGGAAAGGCTTATCACTACAAATTAATAGCAAATTACTTTGCACTCACCTGTAAAGTTCCCACTTCTGGATAATGTAAGACTCCCTGACCATAGGAACACCCTGTTTTCCTTCTGGTCCTGTATGTTTGATTCTTTGCTAATTGCTGTTTACTGGTTCATTATCTCTTGGAACTCCTTCTCATCCTAGAGGACAGGGACATTTTCTTTGTATTTCTATCTTCAATAGATGACCTGAATATGCATGTTAAATGAATGTTGAAAAGTGTTTTCCTGGAAGATTGTTTTCACTTACCTTATACTGAATAAGTGCATTACTGATTACTCATCCCTCCCCCCCATTATTTTATAATAGCTTAAAAGCTTTTCATTTGTTTAGAACAAGGGCAGGGGGACATCCCTACATTTTACACCTATGAAGAAGGATTATCCCATTTAACAGCAGAAGGCCAAGCCACATTGGAGAGATTAGAAGGAATGCTTTCTCAGTCTGTAAGCAGCCAGTATAACATGGCTGGAGTCCGGACAGAAGATTCATTAAGGGATTTTGAAGGTAAGTATCTTTCTTTCTCCTCAGTATGAATAGTCAGATGATCATTTGGGCAATAAGAGTAGTTATGAAGAAACATACGTGGAGGTTTTAGAGATTTCAAAACTTTAGAGAAAGCTCAGAATTAACTATTTTTTTCTAAAGATTTAATTATTTATGCATATAAGAACTGGGTACAGGCCAGAGGTGCAGGAGGTGAGAGGACTCACCAGAGACAGACTGGAGAACAGAACAGGCGGATCTACTGAGATGCACTGCTGAGGGGAGCAGCAGGCGAGTCAGGAGAGGTCTGCTGCACCATGTGGGTAGCTCCCTGGCTGGGGATCCCTTGTGCCACCAGGGATGCCCCTCAGAATTAACTATTGGTTGGGTAGCAAATGTAAAATTATATAGAATGGGAATTCTTATGTCATTTTCTTTTTTAAAGATTTATTTACTTATGCTCTTTGCATACAAGAGCTGGGGTACAGGCCGGAGATGCGGGGGGTGAGAGGATTCACCAGAGACAGAGTGGAGAACAGAACAGGCAGACTGGCTGAAATACACTGCTGAGGGGAGCAGCGGGCAAGACAGGAGAGTTCTGCTGCACCATGTGGGTTTAGGCAGAGGCTGTGTTTTTGCTTCATAGTGCGTTGTTTAACCCTTGCGCCACCAGGGAGGCCGCTCTTATGTCATTTTTTAAAGCTTTTTTCCCATACTACAAAAATAGTCTGTGTTCAGTCCGAAATCTTAAGTGGGCATAGAAAAGAAGAAATGAGAATTCAAGTATAATACTGAGAAGATATCTACTATAGATTTTCTCTTGCATATCTTTCTATATTTTTTTTGCTTGCTTGTGTGTGTATGTGTGTTTATTCATATTAATGTTGCCATTTTATTTTCAAATGAATTCCTACATGATTCTGTGCAAAACTAGGATAATTGATTTAAAGGTCTAGAAGCACTTTTGAAACTTGTGTTTTGCTCTCATGACAAACATGTGGACCTAAATGGTGACTTTAAATGTTTCAGTTGTCTCATTTGAAAACTTCTTTGTAAATATTTTTCCCTGTTAGACTGGTTCCTTTTTCTTTGTATCTTCTTTCAGTGAGAATCTTGAAGTATTCTTTTGACTTAGTCTTTACTGTTTGTTTCCTTATCTAGGCAGGCCAGTACTTAGTTCATGGATTTTTTTTTTTAAATGACTTTCATATTTCCCTGGTTTTACTATTGCTATCCTCCTAAGCTTTTTCTTCTCACACTGGATTTACAGTGGTATTTTTTTTTCCTTTATCACTCCTTTTTCCAACTTACTGTGCTATATTGATCTTCCGATAACACGCCAGGTCACCCTTATAAAGCTTGTTCCCTCAGTGATTTCTTGGCACTTACCATGTAAAGTTCAGATTCTTCATTTAGACTCTGAAGAGCCAACTGTGTCTTTGCTCCAAGTGTCTCCAATCTTGTTCCCACTAATCTGAATAAAATACATGGTGTTCTTATGTGCCAGACCCTGATTTAAACACATTGCACAAATTTATTCATTAAATCGTTTCAAAAACCTAATGTGGTAGGTTCTTTTACCGTTGCATCTACCATAGATTATGATCCCCGTTTTACAAATGAAAACTGAATCCACAGAAGGTCATATAACATGTTTGAGAACAAATAGCTAATAAGTGGTGAGAGGATTAAATTTAAGCTATGAGGCAAAAATAATCTTCCAGGTATTATTATAAGCTCCTCTTGCATTTTACATGTAATTATTATGTATAGTATTCTCCATTGCTACAGAGTCTTAAAATTTCTAATTTTTAGTGCTAGAATAGTTTTTCTTCTATTGGTAAATTTCAGTTTCTCTCATAATGCTGTGATCAATAACTCCTTGAAGTTGTTTAGATACTCTCCATTTTAAGCTCTAATGATGAACCTCCGACATGGGCTTTATAGAAGATGACTCAGATTATTTCTAGTGCTCTACTAAATTTTTGGCTGGAAGAATTGAAGATATTTCCTTAATACAGTGGTTGACTGTATTTTAAGAATTTGTAAAATTCTTTTTAAAACTTTTTTTATAAAGATTTATTTATTTTATGCATCCCAGAACAGTGGTATAGACCAGAGGTGCAGGGGGTGAGAGGATTCACCAGAGACAGAGTAGGGAACAGAACAGGCAGACTGACTGAAATACACTGCTGAGGGGAGCAGCGGGCGGGAGAGGAGAGGTCTGCTGTGCCATGTGGGTAGCTCCCAGGCTGGGCAGGGATCAAACTCGTGCTGCAGAGGCAGCAGATAGCTTCACAGTGCTGTGCCACCAGGGAGGCCCAAAATTTGTAAAATTCTGAAAACAAAAATTGTATACATTTAAAATGTATAACATGTCTTGATATATTGATACATAGTAAAATGATTAGAATGATTAGTCAAGCTAATTAACAAATCCCATTTCCTCACATAGGTATGTTTCATTGTGTGTGTGGTTAGAATACATGTGTGTGTGGTTACTAATACCTTAGTAAATTTTGAACATTTTGTCATTTACCACCACCAAGTAACATTTCAAAGCTGTGTGCTTGTTTATGTAAGAGGTATATATTGAGCCTCTGTGCCAGACAGAACACAACAGTGCATGAGAAAGTCACTGTCTTCATATCAATGGCAGTTCTAGTAGAGAAAGAGAAATTAGTTACAGTACATTGTGCTACAGTACTGAGGTAGAGGGGAAGCTTGAGAAGCTGTGGCATCAGAGGCTGGGTCCTTTACCCAATCTGGTAGTCAGGGAAAAATTCAACCTTCACAGAGTAATTGACAGAGCCAAGATTTGAAAGGTGAGTAAGAGTGACCCAGGTGAGGGGTAATTGCATACAGGTTGGGGAGAGAAGCAGGTAGAGGATCAGCCATGTGCAGAGATTCAAGAGACCATACACCTTTAGGGATCTGAACATAGTTCATTATGTTTGGAACTGGGTATGAAGGGTAGTTATTACAGCAGCTGGTGGTACAGTGAACAGCTAACTGATAACTGCATTTGAAAGTTCCTATGTAATGTTCTTTAGTATTAAAGTTGAAAAGTAAAATGTATAAATTAATTTTAACTTGGTCTAAATCTACAAATAGCATTTCCTTTGTCAGTTTGTTCCTTGATAATTTGATTTTCAAAAGTGAAAGAAGTAGCAGTTTTTACCAACAGGGGGCACTAACTTCTTTCTAAGTGGAAATAAAAGTTCAGTTTAGCTTTCTGATGTACTTAGTAGATTGCTCAGCTGTTCATTTTTCCTTCAGATGGAATGGAGGTAGATTCTGCACCAACAGTTGCTGGACAGTTTGAGGATGCAGATGTTGACCACTGAAAATGAGTTATGCTGCTTTGAGGTGAGGTGTTTATTTTCTTTCTTGTCACTAAACATGAAAATAATGTGAAATGACTTTTATTTTCATAAGTCAGGAGACCTCTATATAATTAGCAGTTTAGAAATGTTATAAATTTCTGAAATTAAAGTTAGGTGATTTTTTTTCTTCCCCCCTAAGAAATCAGAGTTTGCAAACATGGTGGTTTTTGGGTTAATATTTATTGAATATTTACTCAATAAATACTGCGCTAAGCATTGTGAGTATAATAAGACGTAGCTATCATTAATGAAATGAAGAGAATGATTTTAGTCTTTTAATCAGAAACAGAGGCCTCCTTAGTTGACTCAGGTGGGAGCAGCAGAATCTGAATCATGTCCTGGTCTGCTTTGAGTCATCTTTTCACTTGTGATGTTTGAAGCTTTAACATGTTCTCCAAAAAGCATGAAGCAGAGATGCAGTTTTTATCTAAGTTCTTAATTTTATTAAAGCTCATAGTGATAGCATGGCAAGATTTATGTGTTTTGTCTTGACTCTTTTACCATTATCATTCATGCAGGTAGATTGTGAAATCCCTCATCATTCAAAGTTGCATTTACCTCCTGAATTACTGCATATAATATTGTTTCTTACACTAACCATGAATTGTGATAATGGATCTCTGCTTTCTTCTCAGATTCTGCCTGTGGAAATAGTAGAAAGTAATCTCTTAGAGTTCTGCGATTTATATCTCTTTCTTTAAATACTTAATATTTACTCACAACATCAACTTCTGTCATGGGAGCCATATGTAAAGTCAATAATGTCTCCATTGTAATTAGCTAAACTCACGGTGTTTGCATATCACTAAAGCTCTACTAGTTTTAATTTTCAGATCTCACAGTTCCAGATGTCAGTACTTCATAGGAAATCTTTTGGTACCAATTTAAATCTTACTTCCTTATTTCTCATATTCATATCATGTTCTTCATTGGCTTTTGATTCTTTCAGTTGAGTGATACTTAATAACTTTTATTGAAACTGGAAAACATGTTTTGATCTTCTGGCTTTCACAATATTTTTGAAAAATGCTGTTCAGAGAACACAGTCACTCTATTAATTAGTATTATGGGAAACTCATTTCGTATGTCACTAATGGTTATACAAATGGGATATTAACTGCAGTTCCTTGGTGGGAATTCTTAGGACTCTTGTAATGTAATTTTACGGTGAGATAACTATGAAATAGTCACAGACATTCTAATGAGCTGAAGATTTTCTATTCTATTTTGTTACCACTCAAGGTATTTTATTCATAAATTTTATATAAATTCTTCATCTGGATAATTGATCTGCATTCCAAGCAATGTCTGTAAACTTTTAATCACTTAAAATTGTATTTTCCTTTAAAAAATAGCAGGAATAATTAGAATGTTTATGCAACCACTAGAAAGCTCAAGACAGTGGAACTAGGACACCTCAGTGCCTGGTGTTTACCATGGTGGCATGTTGAAAAGAGTATGGAGCTTGGGACAAAATAACTTTGGGTTCAAATCCCAGCTTTTCTACTAACAAGCGTTAAAATCTGAGACAAAATTATTATCTTAATAGGATGAGACGAGGTAAAAGGGAAGGCATGAAAGAATCAGTACTCTGCCATGTACTGTACCCGTGTCTTTGGACAGGGCACATAACTTATCTGTGCTCAATTTCCTCATCTATAAATGGGGGTAATAATAAGTACATGCCAAGACTGTTGCAAAGACTGAGCTATAACCTATCTAAGTCCCCTAGCACTTTTTGCTAGGCATTCTATAAATTATGGCCATGATTATAAGCACTGTCAACCTTTTGTCTTTCAGATTCTGCTTGTAACTGTAGGAGAGAACTTGGTGCCTCTTCCTCTGTGGAGTGGGTATTGATGAAAGGCTTTTCCCTTCTCCAAAACTCATCTGAACCAGTTCTTTCTTGAGACAGACCATATACTGAGACAACAAGTTGTCACCAGCAGAAGAAATTATGACCTTTATTAACAAAGGTGAATTAACTTAACCAAGAGGGTATTTGTAGTTTATTGTTCCCTAAAACTTTCTATGTCTAGGTACCCTCTGAATAGCCCTATAGTTCTTACCTTTACTGTATGCATCTTCTGTAACAGCAGGCCTACACGGTGAAATGTCTAATAGTTTGGGGGTATAGATAGATTGGAAGGGAAAGAGAGAGGCTGAATCTAAGTTATACATACTATTTAGGGCCTAAGCATACCTTGACCTCTTGCAAAAGAAAGATAAAGAGATCTCAAGAGAAATCTTAGCCTCTGCTCATTATCCAAGGGTTAAGGGTCTTTTTACTAGTTTGGGATCCAGATTAATTCATTCAGTCATCTCTAGATAGCCTCCTTGGAAACATCCCAGCGACACATACTACACTAACACAAGTGCTTTTGCTGCTTTCACCATGTTTCGTCAGTCTGTTCTAACATCTTAGGTTATATCCTTTAATTTCCAACCTCTTAGGTCAGTTTCTTTAACAGAACAATGAAATTGCAAAGAAGTCCTCCAAGTACTTCAGATAATTGTTTCATCTTTGTAATAGCTTAACAAATAAATCTAGGTTTTCTATATTATTGTGTTCTCATTCTTGACTAAAACCATTAATGAAAAAAGTTTTTTTTGAATGCTGGCAAAAAATGAGAATCTTATTCATCTTATTTTATTCAACTTTGTTGAGAACATCAACATAAAATGAATAAGAAAATACGTAGTCAGAACTTATTTAGTAGGGCAAGGATTTAACACATTCCAGGGAATTTCTGCTTCCATCTGGATCAGGAGTAATTTCTTTTTTTTTAAGATTTATTTATTTATACAAGCACTGGGTACAGTCAGAAGCACGGGAGGGTGAGAGAATTCACCAGAGTCAGAGCAGAGAGCAGAGTAGGCAGACTGACACAGTACACTGCTGAGGGGAGCAGCGGATGGCAGGAGAGGTCTGCGCGCCATGTGGGACCCTTACCCGGCGGCCGGGGATCGAACCGGCGCTGCACAGGCTGTGGGCAGCTTTGCAATCCAGTGCTCAATTGCTGCACCACTGGGGAGGCCCAGGGTTAATTTCTTAAAACATACTTATCAATTCTTAGTTTTCCATTTTTACAGATACCTGAGCATTTACAGGCTGATCTGTAACTACAGATTTGTGCTTGGATTTGGATAACATTATATGACCTTAAAAGTAAAGTTAGGAAAGCTATTCAGAATCTCTTGACTTTTAGCAACTAAGCTTTAGTTTATTGCTACTAAGCTAATGTTTCAGTATTCCCACTTGGTTTCCTCATCATGCATGGTAGACTAAAAAAAATTAATTTACCTATTTCTGAACAGACTCAGAAATACTGAATTGATTACGATGGACAAATATGAAAGGGTCAGTGGACATGGAAACTGAAATTTTCCAAGACCACCTCTGTACCAGTGACTGTCCTGGGTTCTTTTACATACTTCATGCATGTACTATTCTTAACTCTCTTAGGAGTATAGGTGCTTTTATTACCCTCCTTCAGAATAAGGAAACTGAGCTACAGAGAGAGCTAACTCTCAAGAGCTATCTCTTGAAGTTATATAGGTAGTGAGCCAAGATTTTTAAGCCTATACCCTAAACCACATTGCCTTACTATATACCAGCACCTGAGAGTAAGCAAATTCTCTCTTTCCTGGTTGGTTGGTTTGTTTTTTTAATATATTTTGTCAGTCATTTATGTAACGATAATTTTGGGACTAGTTTCACACCTCCATATATGCATATGCTTCACTCACCTTCTACCAAAACTCCAGTGTCAATATCTGTCCCCTTCTATAACCTATCCCTCTTCCCTCTCCCCTAGTCCCTCTTGTAACCAGTATATTTTTCAGTGTCTAAGAATTTTCCAATCTGTGCTTTGTTAGTTTTTCTTGGCTGTTTATGTGCAACAAATGTGTGAGGCCATCTGGTAAGCTGTCTTTGACTTTCTGACTTATTTCACCTAGCATAATCACCTCAAGATCCATTCCTGTTTTCCTTTGAAAAGGCACTATTTCATTGTTAATAGCTATGTAGTATTCCATTGAGTATATTTTCCACATATTCTTTATCCTGTCATTGGCCATTTATGTTGGTTCCCTGACTTGGCTATTGTAAATAAACTGCTGTAAACAAAGGAATGCAAAATCTTTTTGTATTAGTGTTTTCATATTCTTTGGGTAAATACCTAGAGGTGATATTGCTGGATCACCTGGTATTTCTTTCTTTTTCTTTTTTAAATTTTTTTATGGTGGAAAAATTTAGAATTAGCCATTTAGAATTAGCCAGGTGGATTTAGTTTAGATGATCCCAATTTTGTTGGCAGTATCCAAAGCATCATGGTCAGTAGCCAGGCAAACATAATGCCGCCTTTTCGCCATCAAGTCTGATCAGGGTGTTGACCTTAGTCACATCAATGTAGAGCTTCTTCATAGCCTGTTGGATATGGTGTTTATTGGCCTGAACGTCTACAATGAACACAGGTGTGTTGTCTTCTGTGTTCTTCATGGCTGACGCGGTGGTCAGAGGAATCTTAATGATGTATAGTGGCCAAGCTTGATTCTTCTGGGAGCTCTCTTCTGAGGACATTTGGGTTGCCTTTGGAGTATCAGTGTCTTGGGCCTCCGGAAGGTGAGTGACAGGCATATTTTCTTTTTCTTCTGGCGGTGGATGCCTTTTAGCACTGCTTTCTTGGTTTCAAAGCTCTGGCTTTGGCCTTGGGAATGTCCAGGGCTTCCTTGTTTACTTTGGGCACTATCTTGGTGAAAGGGGTTTCTCCATTTTTATTTTTTATTTATTTAAAAAAATTTTTTTTAAATTTATTTATTTTGCGTAGAAGAACTGGGGTATAGGTAAGAGGATTCACCAGAGACAGAGTGGGGAGCAGCACAAGCGGACTTACTGAAATACACTGCTGAGGGGAGCAGTGAGCGAGAAAGGGGAGGTCTGCTGTGCCACATGTGGGTTACCTCCCTGGCCAGGATTGAACTCAGGCCTTAGCAGTGGTAGCGCTGAAACTTAACCCCCAGGCCACCAGGGAGGCCCCTTCCCCATTTTTTTTTTTTAAAGATTTATTTATTTGTTTATACAAGCACTGGGTACAGTCAGAAGCACGGGAGGGTGAGAGAATTCACCAGAGCCAGAGGGGAGAGCAGAGCAGGCAGACTGATGAAGTACACTGCTGAGGGGAGCAGCGGGCAGCAGGAGAGGTCTGCGTGCCATGTGGGACCCTCGCCCAGGTGGCTGGGGATCGAACCGGTGCTGCAGAGGCTGCGGGCAGCTTTGCAACCCAGTGCTCAACCGCTGCGCCACCGGGGAGGCCCCCCATTTTTATTTTTTAAAGGAATCTCTATCATTTTCTGTAGAGGCTATACCAGTTACTTTCCCACCAATGGTGAAAGTGTTCCTTTTCACGTCCGATCTTTTTGGTATTAACCATTCTCACTGGGGTGAGGTGATACTCTTAATTTCCCCTTATAAGTAGTAATGTGAGCATTTTTTCCTGTGCCAGTAGGCTAACTGAATGTCCTCTTTGGAGAAGTGTCTAGGTCTTTTGCTCATGTTTTGATTGAGTTTTTGTTGTTGTTGAGCTGTAGGAATTTTTCGTATTTTTTGTATTTTTCGAAAATAGACCCCTTTCCAGACCTGTGGTATGCAAATATCTTGTTTTTTGTGCTTGTTTCTTTTGTGGTACAAAAGCTTTTTAGTTTGATATAGTCCTATTCGTTGTTTTTTTTTTTTTTTTTTTGTGTTGTTGTTGTTGTTTTTGATAGTTTCCCTGACTGTTGGAATTGTGCCTCCAAATACATCTTTGAGGTTGATGTCCAAGAATGTATCACCTGTGGTTTGTCTGAAACTATTTCATGGTTTCAGGTCTTATATCCAAGTCTTTAAACCATTTTGAATTAATTTTTATGTACAGAGTTGATCTAGTTTCTTTCTCTTTTGCCATGTGGCTGTCTGGGTTTCCCAACACCATTTGTTAAAGTCTTTACCTGTTGCATGGTTGTGTTCCCTTTGTCAAAAATTAATTGTCCATATTTATGTGGGTTTATTTCTGGACTTTTCTATTTTAGGCTATTGGTTGTTGTTTGTTTTTGTTCCAGTACTGTACTACTTTATTAACTATGTCTGTGTAACATAGTTCGAAGTCAAAGAGTGTGACACTTCCATTTTTCTTCTTTTATCTCAGGATTGTTTTGGCTGTTTGGGGGCTTTTATTATTCCATGTAAATTTTATTATTAATCTATTTACTTGAAGAATGGCAAATCCCTTATAAGATTCCAATAGAATTACTGCCATCTCTCTTTTTTTTTTAAAGATTGATTTATTTATACAAGAACAGGGTACAGGCCAGATTCGGGGAGGGTGAGAGGATTCACCAGAGACAGAGTGGGGAACAGAACAGGCACAATGACGAAATATACTGCTGGGGGGAGCAGCGGGCAAGACAGGAGAGGTCTGCTGTGCCATGTGGGATTCTCGCCGGCCGGCCAGGATTGAACGTGCGCTGCAGAGGCTGCGCACAGCTGCACAGTGTAGCGCTCAACTGTCTGCGCCACCAGGGAGGCCCATAATATTGCCATCTCTTCATGAAGGCACTGAAATGTATTTTCACTAGCATGAAAGTCTGTGCCTGTATACATAAATAAAGCCAATATCTAATTTGAGGAATTTATATCAGATAATAAAGCAAAATTTGTGGGGAGAGCAGTGAACCTAATCAGATTTTTCTTTCTAACTTAATTTTAAGAAAATTGAGACATCCTTAGGGTTAAGATGGTAAAATAAAAGTATGTACAGGCCAATTGATTATTTTTGAGACTATATGAATCACTAATGCATTTAAAACAACAGTACCTAGAAAATGGCCAATGAATGTTAATTATTAGCCATTCCTTTTTTTTTAAAAAAAAAAAGATTTATTTTTATACAAGAACCGGGGTACAGGCCAGAGGCACGGGAGGGTGAGAGGATTCACCAGAGACAGAGTGGAGAACAGAGCAGGCAGATTGACTGAAATACGCTGCTGAGGGGAGCAGCGGGCAAGACAGGAGAGGTCTGCTTTGTATTAGCCATTCCTTTTATAAGAGAAAGTTAGCAGCTACAAATACATTAACTCACCCCATAGAATACATCTGAGGACCCTGAAATTTCTGACTCCACTGAGCAATTAAAACAGACGTCATGAAACCTCTGGATTTTTTCCTCAGAGTATCTTCAGGTATTCACTCAAGTCTGTGCTCTTGCTCTACAAACTAATCCAATGTACTTGGTTACCGAGTTTCTAGACATGCAACAGATAGGAGAAAAAGGTGATTGTATGAGGCACTGCAATAGCAGGGGTAAATAGCTATAAATTATCAGCAGATAGCTGACAGAATTATTAAGGAAAGCAAATACAGGCGTATTTGTACCTTTTGTTTGCACTTTGCCTTACCACATGTCATAGATACTGTGTTCTTTAAGATATGGACGTTTGTGGCAATCTTGCATCAAATTTAAATGTATAGGTGTCAGTTTTTCAAAAGTATAATGCTCAGTTTGTGTTTTTTTGTGACATTTAATTATGTATATTGTTTTTATAGATAATGTTACTGTACATTTAATAGATTAAAATATAAGGGTCACTGCACTGGGAAACAAAAACAAAATTCATGTGACTCATTTTACTCTGTGACATTCATTTTATTACAGTGATCTGGAATCAAACCTGCAGTATATCTGAGGTATGCATATATATTTTATGTTCCTCCCCAATACAGCAATCTCAGCCTTTATAGGTAGTACAGTTAAAGTTCATGAAAGTATGGCAAAAGTTACCAGTTCAAAATAATGATTGTAAATACATTAAAATCTGACTAAGTTAAGCAGAAACAATTATTTAGAAGCTATCTGGTAGCTCACAAAATAGACCAGAAATGAAATAAACCAGCTTCTAAAATGGTTAGGAACTAGGAATGGTTTACATTGGGTGTTATGATTCCACTGCTGCTGTTAAACTGTTTTTTTAATTGCTCCCATGTCTCTGAGTCACCATGAAGACCTGGATGACACAATTGGGATTCTGTATAATAAAAATTAAGAACGGTTTTCTTTTTTTTTTGGTTAAAGAAACTGAGCAATATACTCTTTATAAAAATTTAAAATGCACATTTTCTTTGACCTAGAAGCTTTATTTAAGGGAATTTTCGTATAGGAAATCTGTACATTAGGAGAGGTCATATATGCAAGGATATTAATTGCAACCTATTTTATAAAATCAAAATACTGAGAATAACCTCACCGTGTATAATTAGGTCTTGGTCAATTATTTACACTTATACAATGGAGAACTGTATTACTAAAAAGAATTAGGTAGATGCCTATCGATACTGATTTTGCCCCAAGACAATTTCAGTGGAGTGTGGAAGGGGGAGCTTGCAAAGATACTTATGAAGAAGGAAAGGGGCTGAAGGTTACAATGTGAATTATAAATGCTTATATATACATAAAATGTCTTGGAAGCACGTAAGTGGTAATAGTTTGCTCTGGGAGAAGTACAGGGCAAGGTAGGAGGGTCACTGAAGGTGCTTTTTTTCCCTGTTATGGGTTGAATTTTTCTCCCCCAAAAGATGTGAAGTCCTAACTCTTAGAACTGCAGAATGTGACCTTATTTGGAAATAGGGTCTTGAGTTAAAATGAAGTTATTAGGATGGACCCTAAATCCTATATACTGTTGTCCATATAGTAAGAGAATTTTGACACAGAGACAGACGTGCAGAGAGAAGCCCATGTGAAGACAGAGTAGTGTAGTGATGGATCTACAAGCCAAGAAATGCTTGAGGCTGCCAGAAGTTAGGAAAGGGATCTGGAATAGACACCTAGTGCTTTAGAAGGGAGTACAGCCCTGCAGACTACTTGATCTTGGACTTCTGGCCTCCAGAATTGTAACAATAAGTTTGTGGTACATTGTTATGGCCCATCATAACATATCCAAGGTGATATTTTTATCTGAGAAACAGTGAACTGTTCTGTATACCTTGGAGTTTCAAAGAATTTTATTTATTGTTTAAAAGCGCTGCAGGTAAAGATGATTTACCATTGCCGCATTTTTTTTTTTTAATTAATATTTTTCTTTAAGATTTATTTATTTATTTATTTATACAAGCACTGGGTAC